ATTTAGGTCACTTCGGGTTCAGTTTTTTTCAAAAAATATGAAACAATGTCTCTCAGAACTGGCTCAGAACTCGTCAGTCACTCATTAATACTCAGGCAAAAACTAGAAAGGAAAAGCGCGGTATAGTAGCAGCATCGATCTAGGTGCAAAATGTAAAGGATGATCTCACAAAAGTAAACGTGGTGAATATCGCCAGTGGTCCTCAAAAGAAAAAATGAACATAGCCAAATATGCCCATTTACATGGTAATTTGCAAACAGCGCATACGTTTAACATTTTTTTGCATATCCACCAAATTAAATAGCCGCCAATATGCCAAAAATGGCAAAATCGCCAAATTAAGTAGCGCCAAATTAACCCAATCTACAGTATTAAATTTGAACCAAATCCATCCACTAGTATTTGAATTATCAAAGATTATATATTTTTTTTCGAAAAATGGCTGCCATTTTGAATTAAGCGGCCATATTGATATTAGAAATTGTTGCCATAGTAACCGAAAATCTAGGCACCCGGGGCAAATAAAAAATCCTGCAAGAATAGCCCCTAACCATGGGCTTTCAATTCTAGTTGAAAACCTATGCCCTAACTAACCATGTTTAAATGCATAAGTTATCAAATAAACTATGAAACCCATCAAATTGTCAAATGCCACCTATTCTCGACTGTTTTGAACAATTATAATATAATGATCATGTGAATTGTGTGATCTCATAATGGATAATTGTAATGCTTCATTAGAAGTGATGTTAGACACTACAACCGTTTTGTCAAATATTCCAAGGAAAGTCAATTTTCCCCCTGTAGTCATGTTATTTCATGGCCGTCAGATGGGGGGGGGGGGGGGGGGGTTGGGACGGATGCGACCGCACCCCCTCTGACACCCCCCAAAAAAAATTTTGGAAAAAAAGAAAGCACTAAATAGCATCTTAAAATTGTAAAAATGTACTGTAACAAATACCCAGATTTATTGGGTTGTAAAAGAAATATTTTTTTGATATCACTTTTTATGCCCGGCATAAAAAGTGATGTCCCATTTTATGCTGGCATAAAAAGTGATGTCCCATTTTATGCTGAGCATTAAAAGAGATACCCCATTTCTCTGCTGGTATTATTTAGGAAGTGATTTTTAATGGTAGTTCAAGATTTAAGACCCATCATTCTGGCACAGATTGCTGAACTAATGTTAGTTAAGAATTCCTAATAGAATTAAGAATTATTAGCTGAAACAGTTGTTTTGCCCTGGCAAACAATTTTCCAACTTGTATTTCAACTTCATTTCTGTCTATTTGTTGACAGTCTGTGATGTCATCAACAACCTTCACAATAGAAATGAGGTAATTCACGATGACATCACAAAGTATCTCTGTCATAGATAGAACTCTGCCACATTTCTTAGAAATCAAACTACTATGTGACATCATAGATAATCTCACTGTCACAGATAGAATTCAACTAATTCCCATTGTGAAGATTGATGAAGATTGATGATGACATCACAGACTGTATCTATAGACAGAAATGAATTTCAAATGCACATTGGGATATTGTTTGCTAGGGCCAACAGAACAGTTTCAGCTATTAATTCTTAATTTTATTAGGAATTTTTAACTAACATTAGTTCAGCAACCTATGTCAGAATGATGGGTCTTAAATCTTGAACTACCTTTAAACATCACTTCCTAAATAATACCAGCAGATTATTCTTTTTAAAAACCAACAAATCCGGGTATTTGTTACAGTCCATTTTTATATAATCCGCTGTTTAGGGAAGTAGGCCATCCCTCACACCCCCACAAAACAATTGAAAAGTTCTGAATTTATTTTATGTATTGTCTCAGACACTTTAAAAATGCCCAGACATCATCAAATAGCTCCTTGATATAGTCAATGTTTCTGGGGGACTAACACTTTGCTCCCCTTCTGTCATTCTCACCCCACCTCCCCCTCGCCCCCCCCCAGAAAGCACCAAATAGCATCTTAAAATTGTTGAAATTTTTAAGGAAGTAGGCCACCCCTCACATCCCCCACAAAACAATTGACAAAAATTTTGAATTTATTTCATGTTTTGTCTCAAGACACATCTAAGGTGCCCAGACTTCATCAAATCAAATAGCACCTTTATATGGTCAATGTTTCTGGGGACAGATATGGGGGACAAACACTTGCTCTCCCCTCTGGCACCCAAACCCTACCTCCCGCTTTGGCACCCAAGCCCCCCTTTGACATCCCCAAGATTTGAAAAAAATATGATTGTTGTTCATTTTTTTTATTGACTCATACACTTTAAAAGTGCCCAGAAAGCACCAAATATCATCTTAAAATTGTAAAGTTTTCTAGGAGAGTTGGGCACCCATCGCCCTCACCCTTTTATCCTCTTTGACACCCCTTTGATTAATACACTTTGAAAGTGCACACTCACACCCCCCCCCCCCACAAAACAATTGGGAATGTTTTGAAGTTGCATTTGTTAATATTCAACACTTTAAAAGTGCTCAGAAATCACCAAGTGACATATAATTCTGACGCCGCATCCCAAAAACTAAAGCATTAATTTACTCAAACACATTAAAAGTGCTCAGAATTAACCAGACAGCATCTTGAATTAGTAAAATTTTCCTGTGCTGCCCACTCGCTCCTCTTAAAAGAAAATTATTAAAAATATGAATTTCTTTTATAAATTGATTCTATTGCCTTCTAGCACACCCTCCCTATTCCAATGTTTCTCCTAATTGCTCATACGATATTTAGTCTAAGTACAATATGAAAAACAATAAAATACTACAAAATAGGCTGAGTGGCCTTAATATAGAGAGTAACTGACCCCCCCCCCCCCCCCCCGACTTACGCGATTTGATTTACGCGGAAACAATGACAATTTTATTTTCTCTTTATTAAAAGGGAAAATATTTTCTTTTTGGAGAAAAGTGTCTTACGGGCCTGTAGTTTATCTTAAATATGTTTAGACCACAAATAGGGGGATAATTTTGTTGATATCTTTGCAACATATTTGTTTTAGAACATCTTTAATATGAGCAAAGGATTTTTCGAACTTCACTTACTTTTTTATGAGTATCATGCGGGGCATGGATATATACCATGATAAGAAAATGAGAAAAATATTGACAATTTTGCCACCTGAGTGAATATCACTTTTATTATCTGACATCACACATTTTTGAGAATGCCTTAAGAGTAAATGTATGGTTTGAGTGATTCTGTCAATATAATGAACTTTTCTTATTTTTCAGTGTTTGCTGAAGATGTTCCCTGTTGTGCAAGTGCCTGTACAAATCATGACATTACCACACAATCAACTAAAATGACATTGGAACTCCGCCATCAGCTAGGCCTATTGTGAATGTGGCTAAGAAGAACAGCAAACATTGACTGTGTTGACTTATTTAACCAGGCTAAATTAACTTGCCCTGCAAAGTTCCTGATAAAAATACATGTGTGGATTAGAAGACCCAGCCAAGATAATGAATATATGAAAATACAATGTACTCCAGAAGCGTCTCATCTTCACATCTCACACTGTCCATGAAGTGATTATCCTCTCGGCTATTTGTGACAAAATGATGCAGTAATGGAATCGGAGCCTTATTATTCAATGCTGATATCAAGAAACCCAAGTAACTGTGACTATGCTCTAAATGGCAAAGAAACAGTAACAGCAGATGAAGAATAAAAATCAGTGACGCAACAAACACTGTTGACTATGATTATGAATGTTAACGCAACTGTAATCAGTCAAATGAAACTTTATACATTGTGATACAAGACTATAACTCCATCTCATCCAATCAATTTGTGATAGCGAAAATCCCTTGGTAAGGGATTTTACATGAAAAAGCCAAACCCTAAAATCCTTCATGATTCATATGACTATGAGCTAAGGATGGCTACTACATCAGAGTATTGAAATGACAATTGAAACTCCCTATAATACAGTAAATAATACTAGACTATTGGGATTCAAGTCAAAACCAACTTGACAAAAAATTCAAACACCAAATAAATTAATAACTTCAGCAGTTAAAGTATTATACAGTAATATATTAATAAAATTAAATACATGAAGTATTATTTGAATATAACATGAACTATTATAAATAAATACAATGTTTCTTTGTTATTTACTGCTGTGCTGATGTACAAAATCTATCAGGGCATTGAAGTAATGACCATTACTGGTAAAAAATTGACATAAAACTTTGTTGGCCATTAATTTAGCATAAGGACAGATCTTCTATTTATGCCGACAAAAGAACAGATCTACTCTTATGCCGGGCATAAGAAAAGATCTACTCTTATGCCGGGCATAAGAACAGATCTACTCTTATGCCCGGCATAAGAACAGATCTACTCTTATGCCCGGCATAAGAACAGATCTACTCTTATGCCCGGCATAAGAACAGATCTACTCTTATGCCCGGCATAAGAACAGATCTACTCTTATGCCCGGCATAAGAACAGATCTACTCTTATGCCCGGCATAAGAACAGATCTACTCTTATGCCCGGCATAAGAACAGATCTACTCTTATGCCCGGCATAAGAATTGAACCTAATTTGCCCAAACCTCATGTTTGCTGAAGTCCGAGTATTTGTAGGATTCCGAGTTCAAATGTCGGGGTGTTAATATGTTTTGATTTAGTATTATAAATGTAGCAGTCAAGAGGAACATGCCAGCTAGATTGACTGCTGGGAGTTGATATCTTGTGACTGCATTTATCTCCCAGGGGATAATTCTCCACAGAGAGATCACAACTCTAGTGGTACTCAACACCCTGGTTCAGTTTTACAATCATTCAAATATTCAGAATAAGTGGTGTAGATCTGTAAACTGAGTGCACCGAGGCATAACATTTTAAAGAAACTAAATCGAGAAAAAAATATTTAATGAACTTTATCACATACAAAATGTTATCAACCAATCAATTTAACGTTTCTTAACAAACCAACCAATCAAATTCATTGTTTCAAAGTGTTCCTTACCTGGTACTGTTTGAAGTCAGTTCTCACTCTCCAGCCTTTGTCATAAGCCAGAGTGTGTCTGTCTTTCTGGAAGAGTGTGTTGATTCTGGGAATGCCTCTATCCCAACTGTCCTCGAGATCCTCAAGTGTCAGACGCCTGGAAAATGAAAATGAAATTGTGATGTAGTGAGAGGAGATAAAAATAAATAAAAAGGCCATTCAAAGTCAATTATATGTTTAACATGCAGGGTTCAAATCTTATGAAGGCTGGAGGTAAAAAATTTTGATTGGCTAAACATTTTCATACAATGTACCTGGAATCTGGTAAATATCACACTAAGATACCTTTAGAAAAGACAGATGCAAGTGGCTGTGTTTCAAATACATCGCATAAAAATAATGACTGATGTTGAAATTTTCACAATTTCTAACTTAATTTGGTCAAAATTTGGGATCTGTCTAATTTTCAACTGGTTGCAGACCTATTTTAGAAATCTCAAGTTGGTGTGATGCCCGCTTGCTTCAATGCTGCAGATATCACTGATTTATTTAAAACCAACCTGTTTTGAGCATTGGCCTCCTGTCGTTTGAGTGCATATTCTGCCCAGACTCTCTGTGAGTCTATGAACTCCGACTCCCAAGGCATGATGTAGCGGTACAAGTTAGGAATCAGCTGATCCTCGTCATGACTCATCCCTGATCTGAAATGTGTGATCCCCACATCTGTCTGTTTGGACCAACGCAGATCTGATTGTGGAATTAACACGTGCCCCATGGACAACATTCCCAAACCTGAAAATATTAAGGGAGATATGGTTTAAAATCTAATTGTACAAAGAGGATTTGTATGATGGTTTCAATAGAAGGGGAGAAAAAGAAAACAAACATTTTATGTTTCATATTCTACCATGTAACAGAGTAAATAACATGTACGAAATGTCCTCTGCCTTCTGTTGTGATGTTCATCAAATATGTGTTATGAAGGGCCTACCAATTCCAATAAACTGGTATTAAGACAATATCTGACATTATAATCAACTATCATACTTCTACCAACTACGATATGACATTATAATCAAGTATTACCACCTCAGACTATCATTATACCCCTACTAACCTCCTAATTCCTTAGGTGTATAAAAGACTACGATATGACATTATGATCAAGTATTACCACCTCTAGACTATCATTATACCCCTACTAACCTCCTAATTCCTTAGGTGTATAAAAGACTACGATATGACATTATGATCAAGTATTACCACCTCTAGACTATCATTATACCCCTACTAACCTCCTAATTCCTTAGGTGTATAAAAGACTACGATATGACATTATGATCAAGTATTACCACCTCTAGACTATCATTATACCCCTACTAACCTCCTAATTCCTTAGGTGTATAAAAGACTACGATATGACATTATGATCAAGTATTACCACCTCTAGACTATCATTATACCCCTACTAACCTCCTAATTCCTTAGGTGTATAAAAGACTACGATATGACATTATGATCAAGTATTACCACCTCTAGACTATCATTATACCCCTACTAACCTCCTAATTCCTTAGGTGTATAAAAGACTACGATATGACATTATGATCAAGTATTACCACCTCTAGACTATCATTATACCCCTACTAACCTCCTAATTCCTTAGGTGTATAAAAGACTACGATATGACATTATGATCAAGTATTACCACCTCTAGACTATCATTATACCCCTACTAACCTCCTAATTCCTTAGGTGTATAAAAGACTACGATATGACATTATGATCAAGTATTACCACCTCTAGACTATCATTATACCCCTACTAACCTCCTAATTCCTTAGGTGTATAAAACACCACTGGGGGAAACCTGCTGGGCATTTTTGAGTTGAGTCCTATCTTTATTCTGGTCTGTATCTTGTTCTCACATTTCACCAACAAATCCAGCAATTCCTGCGTGTTAACAACTGCCTCACGGAAGTAAGTCATTAGACCAATCAGAGCTGTGTTCCATTTGTTGACAATCTGAAATAAAACAGATAACGTTAGTTGTTTCGTTCCGATACATGATACACATTTCTGTCTTGCATGCAAGCATGGAGACTAATATGGAGACTAGACTAATGTTATATGCTTTACCATGGAGACCAATATTATATGCTTTACCATAGAAACTAAACCAGACTATTTCACCTCGACTACCACACTATTTCACCGTGACTACTATTTCAGCAATAACTAGTTAATAATGAAATAACCATTTCAACAAAATGTAAAATTCAGTTCAAATCAATTAAGGAACAAAGTCTAACACAGCATACCTTTGTGAATGTAGTTGAGCCTGAAGCCATGAGAATCTGCCTGACTCTGTTGTGGAATTTGTTCATGGAATCATCATCCACTCTTAGATAGCACTGGGCTGTCCTTTCCTTGGTGATCTATGTGGAAAATATACAGATCAATAGTTAAAAGTTCAGTTTAGCAATACATGACCCTTAAAAACTACAATGAGAATGATATGTAATGTAAAACACTAATTATAATAAATTTTGAAAGAAAATAATTCATATCACTCATATGAAGTAACAATTTTCCGAGTAAAACTGAGCATAATATTATTGTCGTTGATGATCTAGTTGGAAAATACTTAAGCACATTAACATACTGAACATTTTTTATCTGGATTTATTTTCAATTTCGAAGCATGAAAGTTATTAACCAGACTTCATAATACTACAACATTCAACATAATGTTTTCAGATTAACTAATTCAGTTTCCTGCACAGACCAATTAAATAGCATGGTCATTGTCACAAAATTGGCCATAATTCTTGGGGTTCTGCACTAGATTGTATTAATAACACTGACCTCATTTTGGAGATTCCAGACACCATCCTTGTGTGTGAATTCTTCATGGGTGAGTCGACACTTTGGCATAATGCGACACTCAAAGCCACACATGTTGAAGAGTAGATTTGGGTTGTCCTTGCTGTACACTGATACAAAGCTACCATCCCATTGTATGGTAGTTACTGATCTTGGCAGTCTGTTTTTAATATCCCAGAACACTGCACGACCACTGAAACATTCAATATGTTTTTTAAAGATTTTATTCTTATGATAATATTTTCTGCTTTAAAATTGTGTATTTTTGTTGTAAAGACACATGATAAAGCGGGGTTGAAGTTTTACTTTAAAAGGAGCCAAAAACTCCAGATTTCTACGTTTGAATTTAGACATACCTCATGTTTCGAATATCTGATACTAATTATTTTGATTATACTCACAGATTGACGTCATGTTTCATGAGCCTCATTCTGGCATCTCTAGGCCAACATTTCTTGTTGTTATATCCAACAATGTTTTCATTATTAGGGTCAGGATGTTCTGTAAGGTATCTCTGGATTAGATCTCTCGCTTCCTCCGCAGTGAATCTGTAATAATATATGTGGTGTGCCATGAGAATTAATCAGAATACTTCACTCTATGAAGTGAATAGTTTGTCATTCCCGGGTTCATGGAATTCTATCCAGTTCATATGTTTCCCTCTATAGTAATCTCAGGAATACAATTTTTTATTTTTTTCACATGGCATGATATTGACCAATCAATGTATGGTGCATAAGGCATGATAATAATTCACATTTTTATATTATGATATTAACATAATCTAAACTTGTGATTCACATTGATATAAGAATACAATGTGACTATGAAATAATTTAAAATCAACTTTCTTGCCAAGATCTTGGAAAATTATGGATCGAATCAAATAGAATTACAGTGTGATGGATATGTGAACTATGTCTATAAACCCCATACCTGAAGAAAATGTGAACACGGTCGATATATCTTGAATAAAGCCTAATAGGATGTGAGGATTCCGTGACAACATCTTGGAATGTCAGGAAATCATTGGGCATTTGGGGTGGACCAGCCATCTCGCTAGCTCTCTGTAACCCTAGCAACAGTAGATCCTGGACCAGACCGTAGTACTGGACGATGAATGACGCAAATTGGAGACCTCGAATGATACCATATGAGTTGGTATGGTTCATATCCTGGAAATAAATTCAATACACATAAATAGGGGTAATAATTTTTTAGCAATTTTAAAAAAAAACATACATGCCAGAATACACAAAGAATTGTAATTAAATAACTCAGAACAATTATTTACCGTGTAACCTTTTATTGACACACCTTAATAAATAACATGAGATAGAATTGTTTGATCGAAAAAATTTATTTTCAAATGAGAAAAACCAATGTATTGCAATACTAGTGTTCAATAGATTATTGAAATGTTACCTTATAATTAATGACAACATTGTTCTTTGCAGTCATGTAATCAGCGATGTTATGATCCACGATAAGACGCAGCAATCTGTTCAGGAGGGTAAGATCTATTTTCTCGTAAAGTTTCTCAAAGTGTGATTCCATCATGACGTTACATTCTCCTTCCGATGTATCCCAGACATCCTGTAGATTGTTGATACCTGTGGATGAAAATCGTGACATTTTGTCTTTTGTTGTATTGACAAATGCAAACGGAGAAGGGGGGGGGGGATTTGTAACAGCAAAATGGCTAAGAATTAAAGATTGATTCAGATATCTGTAAAAAAATACTGGCCAAAAATTCATTCAAAATCATGTCATTTTTCAGCATTGTGAGCATTTTCCGTGTGATTTTGTGCCAAATTCTTCAAAGTTAATCCCCCAAGTTTTTTTGAAAAGTGAACCCCCCTTGGCAAAAGCTGGCTATGGGCCTGGTACCATCAAGTAATCTTTTAAGGAGTACAACAATGAGTTTACAGGGCGACAACAGAACTGAGGATGTAGATTGCTGAGGTCTTACATTCCAGCAAATATCGAAATTACATTACATAGATTTATAAGCATAATATGTGATCAGTTGTTCTGTAGTAGTTTAGAGAAACATGCCAGCTAGATGGACAATCTATCAGCCAATCAAATTCAGTGATACTTTACATTGTAATATACCACCAACCAATCAGATTCATTGATACATGTACATTCTAAAAGCTTATCACCCAATCAGAACCATGTTTTAACTACAAAGTATGTAGCAGTAAAGAGGAACATGCCAGCTAGATTGACTGCTGGGAGTTGATATCTTGTGACTGCATTTATCTCCCAGGGGATAATTCTCCACAGAGAGATCACAACTCTAGTGGTACTCAACACCCTGGTTCAATTAAGTTCAATATTTAATTACACATACTCATATTTCTTTCAAACTAGGCCCAGGTCATTTAAGGGGGATTTCAAAATGTATGAGACTGACGCTCTATTTCACACAAGCTATTTAGAGACAATATACTGTCTCATGCTCATTTTGCTCGTACATGCATTTAGGATTTATCAATAATTTCAATATAACACACAAGGGTAAATTACAGACAGAATATCCTGGAATTGTTTAGCCAGCAGAATTTCATCAATCCAAAGTCAATACTAACACAACACAGTCATGTAGATTTAATATTAACTCAATGTACAGCCTATACAAGCTGAGAAAATTAATAACTTTTTGATAATGAATAATACATATTAGATTTACATGAAATTGAATAAAAAAGTGTGATTATGAACCTTTTACACAGGGAGATATGCTGATTACTCAATTAGTACAAAATTAGTACTAAATTAGCACTCTTGCAAAAGTGCACTCATGAGCACTCATGCCACAAGTGCTTATTTAGTACTAATTCATGATATGAGTACTCATTTAGTGCTGAAAAATCTTATTTTATTAATATTATTTTATCACTCATGACATGAGTACTCATTTTAATCTAAAAAATCAATGAAATTACTGCTATTTTATCACTCATCACGAGTACTCATTTAGTACTAAAACATGCAATAAATCAGTCCTCATGTCATAAGTGCTCATTTAGTACTAATATTTACTGAAATGAGAACTCAGAGTTAAAATGCCATGAGTACTATTTTAGTACTCAGCATATCTCCCTGTGTATTCTGAGTATACTAATTTTATGAGGGGGATTTAAGATTGCTAAATGTTAATTCATATCATAAATCCTATTTCAAAGATCTATTGGAATTATCTTAATTAACCGCTTCCTTCACATTGCCAATGATCGAATCCTTTAACTTACCTTGTTATTAATATTCGTAATATCATGATTTACATGTACAGGGATAAACATCAGAAATGATGTCACCTGTTAACCATATATGTACTTTATATAATTATGTTATCCTTATAAGTAATAAACTGGATAAATTGACATTTTGCAATCAGAATTCAAGTGTCTTGTTTGTGGATACTGTTGTCATGTATTTCGTCTTATTGGTATGATGTCATATAAAAATGACATTAGACATGATGGAGGGACAAAATGGAGGACACATGGAAGTTTTGAGCTGAAAATATTATCGTTTCTTTAATAAAGCCATGGTTCGGATATTTATCAGGTTTGCCGATTTGACTAGATCGTGAGTTAATCTTTATAAGTGTGAAGTTTCGGTGAAATTCATACAAAACATCGATGCCTATAAGCGACCCCCGTTTTTATAAAAATCGGGGGGCGCTTAACCGCTATCAAAATCATGTCAGTAGGATCTTAGACTTGACAGGTGCTTAGAATGAATGTTGATCTAGTCAAATCAAAATTGGATCAATGTTATTATTTTCCAGCAATATCAAGTCTCACCTTGACACCATTTATATGTCAGCAAAGGAGGAGGTTCAGTGTCTGCAGGTTTAATCCATGGGGGGAAGAGACGTCTCTTGTCTGCCTCATACCAGAGATACTGGTCTAGATAGGCATCTGTGATCTTCTCTAATGGTTCTACGTCATACACAGGCACTAGATGACTGTACAAGTCCATGAACTCTATTCCAACCTTTAAATATTAACACATATATATAAGTTAGGCATCTGTGATCTTCTTTCATGGTTCTACGTCATACACAGGCACTAGATGACTGTACAAGTCCATGAACTCTATTCCAACCTAAACATTAACAAATGTAAAAATACAAGCCAAAAGTTCTCATATTATAGATATTTATGACTGAAATAAGGCCAGCTATCATCATGCTTTGAATGGTTTGAACATTCTCAACAGGATATTTTTCAAGTGGGTGTAAAATTCTTATTTTCACAATTCAGACCATAATTGGTCAAAATATGCCAATTTTTCATGATTTTTCACATTTTCAAGTTGGTGCAAATGGATTTTCAGGTGGGTGCAAGCCTTCTTTTTAATCTCAGGTGGGTGCTGCAACAACTTGCTGTTGGGGAGATCACTGGAACACACATTGGTTGCATAACACCGCCACCAGAACTCGGATTTTGCCCAATGTGTTGTTTGCACTTTGTGCTGACCCAAAAAAATATATCAAAATTCCAAAGTTATACAAGATATGTCTGGCACAAATGGTTATGTCTGGCATGAATCATGAATGGTTGTGTCTGGCACCCAAATGCCTTCTGCAGAAAAATTCACAAATGTTTGCAAACATACCTCTTTGAAAGCTCTCTGCGTGAGTAAATGACGTTTGATTCTGGACAAAGCTTCATGAGGATTGTCGTAGGCTTGTTCTATGAGACCCAACTCTTCTCTCTGGGACTGGTTCAACCTGCTTTTCACACTGGAAGACATAATGTGAGTCAAATTTATTTTTCAAACAAAATAAATTGCAACTATTGAAGTATCAGTAATGCTGAATAACAAGTGTTTCTACTTCATTTTAGACTATAACATTGGTAAACCAGACCTCATGATAGAGTGAGTAGTAAATTTGGCAGTATGATCAGCTCAATACAAAGTATCAGATTCTCAGTTTAAAGTCTGGTTAGTGGATAAGGAAGTATATTATATATTTTAGGCAAAACCTTTATTTTGTAAGCCTTTATTATCATATTTTGCATAAAAACAGCTTATAATAAAACCCTAAACTTTCTTATGTCAAAACACTGAGTTTCATCTTTTTCTCTTAAATGTTTTGAATTGATGTACATTATACATGGAGCTTTTTAAAGCAAGACTGCATCTTTACATCATACAGTGTTTGCCACAAACCTGTAAGCTTCTTTGAGTCTCTCAAGTGCCAGGATGAGCAGCTTGGTGTCATGTTTGTAAGACAGAGGAGGGAAGGGTATGGGGGAGAAACGTCTACTCTCCAGCCAATGGACAGTTGTTGTGTAAATAGCTACAGCCTCCTCAGATGTGATATATGGACCATCCTGAAAATATAATAATACATTATGTAATGTACACATTTGTCATCTACATGGCTACAGCCTCCTCAGATGTGATATATGGACCATCCTGAAAATATAATAATACATTATGTAATGTACACATTTGTCATCTACATGGCTACAGCCTCCTCAGATGTGATGTATAGACCATCCTGAAAATATAATAATACATTATGTAATGTACACATTTGTCATCTACATGGCTACAGCCTCCCCAGATGTGATGTATAGACCATCCTGAAAATATAATAATACATTATGTAATGTACACATTTGTCATCTACATGGCTACAGCCTCCTCAGATGTGATGTATAGACCATCCTGAAAATATAATAATACATTATGTAATGTACACATTTGTCATCTACATGGCTACAGCCTCCTCGGATGTGATGTATAGACCATCCTGAAAATATAATAATACATTATGTAATGTACACATTTGTCATCTACATGGCTACAGCCTCCTCAGATGTGATGTATAGACCATCCTGAAAATATAATAATACATTATGTAATGTACACATTTGTCATCTACATGGCTACAGCCTCCTCAGATGTAATATATGGACCATCCTGAAAATATAATAATACATTATGTAATGTACACATTTGTCATCTACATGGCTACAGCCTCCTCAGATGTGATATATGGACCATCCTGAAAATATAATAGTACATTATGTAATGTACACATTTGTCATCTACATGGCTACAGCCTCCTCAGATGTGATATATGGACCATCCTGAAAATATAGTAATATACTGTGTTATGATACTCAAGCAATAAAATAACACATTCACAAGCTATTTTTTAAGCGTGACCACTTTCAAGCCACGAATGACCCTGTGTGTGAGCGATATTGCCTTGATAAAATCACGTAAGTTTTAATCCATTGGTTTTACACATTACCTGGGAAAGTTGAGAATTAGGAAATATTTTGATCACTTTATTTTTGGTCAGAATAAGTATTTGTTCTCGTAAGGAATATAAGTACCTTCACTGCTTTAACCTGTGAAAACTTTCATCAGAGTTTCCAAGTAAAGCTAAATACAAACCAGAATACTGATTTCAAAAGAATGGAGAGAGTTCAGATTCAGAGGTGGGAGTAAAATACTGGAAACATAATTGCATGTATTGTTAGGTAAATTAAAATTGTTATACACATTACCATAAATAAATAATATAAACAGTGGGAAGTGGGAAAAGGCATTGTATATACAAAGCAACTCTAATTGAGCTTTATATCCGGGATATAATACAGTGAAATGAGGAAACGGGCTTGGTATATGAATACAGCTGTTCTGTAAATGATCACTTGGGGAGTCAACTCATGCTCCTATATCATGGCAACCAGACATTGTAATTAAAACTCTCAATTAGTTTATAAATACAATATAACAACTTCTGCATTATCTTCATTCACTGCTTCCCTTGTAAAAAAGTACATACTGGGGGAACGAAAATGTGTTAAACCTCTTGACTAGCCAGAGTGGCGAGATTTCTTGTCGCCTCAGAAATGACCTTGAAACCCAGAGTGATGAAGTAATCAGTTGCAAATTTTTTTACTAAAACTGGTCTAATTTGAACAATTTTCATCCACTTTACACAAAAATTATTTTAAAATGTGTAGAAATGATCTCTGCCGTCTAATTTTAATATATTGAGCATCACCTAGTATGTAGTAAAATCTCAAAAGCTGGCAAAAATGAAAAATTTTCTGGTTTCAACCAATTTCAGAGCCTTGGATTCAAGAGGTTAACTTTTGATATGTTTCGTTGTAATAAAACAACATAAACTGTAGAATATTTATTCAGCAACAGTTCAGCCAATATTATTTTGCTTGCAAATACATGTAATGAAATAAGTAATATGTATAAACTTTGACAAAGTTAACACTTTGTTACGAAAACTGTTTTTTTTGTAATGAAAGTTTGCTAAATAAAAAATTTCAAAAAGATGATATATAGTCGCCATGTCCAACGCCATCAGATAAAAATACAGGAAATGCACAAACAAATATTAATTGAGAATTACTCTGTTCTACAGGTAATGTATCACACCTGTGTTTACTGTTTACCATGAGCTGACGGAAGTCCGCTATCTATATATGCGTGAGTGTATGAAACTATATATAAACACAGAGACTGGAGACACCACATATAGCTACAGTTGTGACAGAAGGAAGGCACGATGAGTTTCAAATACACTGTCTTCACCTTGCTTCTAGTAATGGCAATCGAAACATCAATTGCTAGAAGGCCATGTATAGAACATGAAAATCAGACTTGCAGCAGACGGAATAGAAATTGCCCAAACACATACAAGTGTGTCGCTCAAGAAGAAAAATGCTGCCAATATGTGCTACCAGAACACTGCGATACAATCATTCAACAAGAAACTAACGCACCATGGAAATGCCGCGGAGGGGGCAGTATAAGGTGCCCATATGGATACATCTGCATCACTGACCCTGCCAATAGATGGAACATGTGCTGCAATAATACAATCTGTCATGATGATATGGGGAATCAGCGTAGACAATATGATGGTGAATGGACCCAATCTGATGAATGTACAAAATGCATATGTTTATCAACGGGCGAAACAGAATGCGACAGTAGTGCTTGTACTGGGAGTAGATGTCAACGTTATGGTAGGTATTCTTTTGATAACAGCCAAATAACAACTTCTTTTAATAATGTAATTTATCATTTATCATGTCTGTCAGTGATGTAGCCAGGATCTACAAATAAGTGAGGCAAATTGAAATAGGTGAGGAAAAGTTGAGTTAACGGCAAGAAAAAAAGTTATCGAAACACTTTATTTTCAAATTTTTTTGGGGCGTCAAAGGGGGGGGGGGGGGGGTGCCAAAGGGGGAGGTAGGGTTGGGGTTCCAGAGGGGGGGGGGCAAGTGTTTGTCCCCCATATCTGTCCCTAGAAACATTGACCATATAAAGGTGCTATTTGATGAAGTCTGGGCACCTGAAATGTGTCTGAGACAATACATGAAATAAATTCAGAATTTTTGTCAATTGTTTTGTGGGGGATGTGAGAGGTGGCCTACTTCCTTAGAAAATTTTACAATTTTAAGATGCTATTTGGTGCTTTCTGGGCACTTTTAAAGTGTATGAGTCAATAAAAAAGATTAAATCATATTTTTTTTCTATTTTTTTTGGTGAAGGAGTTGCCTCCTCTGTCTCATGCCTGGCTTTACTAATGTTTGTAAAAATTATATCATTGAAGTGATTTTGGTGTACTTTATGGATCAAAATTAGAAATCGAGTCATTTTAAAACAACTCAAAATTGTTGCAATTGACGTATTAAAAATATTTACACCTTCATTGATGTTTTGTAGGTGACTATTCCCCGTTCTCCCCATGTAATAACACCAGGTGTGATAAACAAGTTAAGATTAGACGCTGCAACAGTGAGCTTAGAAGACGCACATCTTATGATCAACCATCTTTAAATGATGTTGAACTGGAAATGAATACATGCTATCCCCAGCCCTCAAATCAAGTCAAATGTCCAGAGACAGGGGTTGCCCTAACTGAGAGTGTACCTATTGTTATAGGGGGACAGGAGGTTAACCCAGAACATAATTATCGTTGGATGGTTCACCTAGATCTTCCAGGGGATTGTCGTTGTGGGGGATCAATTCTCAGTCCAAGACATATCTTAACAGCAGCACACTGTTTTGATTGGGTTGATGGTAGAAACATAACAATCAAGACAGGAAAACATAAAATATCTGATTTGGGAGAGCCTTTAGAACAAACTCGAAAATATCAAAATTTTAAAATTCATAAAGATTATCGGTTTGGGTCATATGATAATGACATTGCAATTATTAACATACATCCACCTCTAGAATTCAATGATCACACGCAACCAATAAATCTTCCCACTAAAAAATTTAATGATAAAACAATAAAGAAATTGAGAAAAGGATTGTGCCAAGTCATAGGGTGGGGAGATACAGCAGGAAAGGGAGGATCATGTAATGAATTCAAATATTCAGATGTCCTTATGCGGGTTAAAGTTAATCTTGAGGAAAACTGTAATTTGCCAAGCCTCTTGAAAGCAATTGTAACAAGAAATATGTTTTGTGCAAGTCGTAATGCCAAAGATTCATGTTCTGGGGACTCGGGGGGTCCTTTGATGTGTAGAGATGGTGTAACCTGGTATCAACATGGCATAGTAAGTTGGGGACCAGAAGGCTCATGTGGAAATGGTTCTGGGGTCTATACAAAAGTAGCAAACTATATTGACTGGATCAAGGAACAAATTTCAACAGATGGGGGCTGGGGTGAGTGGAGTGGATTCACATCTTGTTCAGCATCTTGTGGAAGTGGGATCAAGTCTCGAGTGAGAGCATGTACAAACCCTGAACCCATTGCTGATGGAACATGTCCTGACTACAACCACAAGACAACTGGAGGTGACATGTTGCAGATAGAGGAGAAGCCATGTAAGATACAACCCTGCAAGGGCTAGAATGTAATGGACAGAATATTTAACAACCTGAAGATTTGATTCACATGTCAATGTGTATATTACACTTGAAATAAAATACTGTGAATATCTGAAGCTGCAATATCTTTACTCTTGATCATGTATTTACATTGTATACAGTAATAGTAAATGGATTTAGGCAACGCTGAAAACATTGCTGCTTAATCCTATATCCTTCTGCCAGACATTAGACTTGCCACAGTTTGTTACACTCAAAAAACAAGTCATTAACATGTGAAATGTCACCATCTGCCACTTGTTACAGACACCGACCACCAAACAGCAACAGCCAAATGCCTTGAAAACTTCACTATCATTGTATATTCCTTGATAGAAGAATGTCAAATGTGCTTTCATTCATGGAAAATAAAATCAATTATTTTTTACAATGTGCTTTAAGCAGACAAAACTTATAATCAATGTTTACGCCAGGTGTATTTAACATCCACAGTGAATGGTAGCCTGCGGTCACCTAAAAAAGTTGAAAGTTCTAAAAGAGTTGAAAAAGTTTTTCAAAATGAGCAATTAACTGTGCTGCCTCTTAAATAATTAATGACACCTATAAAGCCTATACATTAGTTCAAACAAATGGCAGTTTGGATGGATGGTTTAATCAATTTTCAACTGTTATTTTTAATTTTCATCAATTCATGACAAAAACACCAAATGGGAGAAAATTTTCTATTAGTATCTTCCATACACCTTTTCAAACATAAGTGATCAATAAAATACTACCTTGATTACTTGATATCTAGGAATCTGAGAAACACAAAAGAATTAAAATGTAGACTGGTAAATATTATACATACCTTCAAGTAATTATGCTGCCTTTCTTGCTCAGCCTTAAGGTAAAGTCTCGTTAGTCTACCAAGGTTCTTCTTGCACACTGTCTTGTCCACTGTCGCACCTCTCCTGATTCGCTCACGATTATAATGTGCTGTGTTTGTCCACCAATCAGCTTTGGCCTTGACGAAACGCAATATCATATTCTCTATTGGGATTGGTAGCCCAGGTACCTAGACAAGAGAAAAGTAAATTCAAAATTATTATCATCAGTAAATCTTTGATTTTTCATAAGGTATTTTATTAAAACTGATATTTCTAATATTGCTAAAATATATTGTAATTCCTAGCGGATTTAAGGGGTACATGATTCAAATATCGCAAGCGATCGTTGCATTTTTATTTCCTTCTAATTTTCTGCCTGCCCTCTGCAGATATGGAGTATGCACAGATATGGATATGTTAAAACAAAGGATGTAAGGAATATGCACTTTTTGTCCCTCACTTAAATTTATGTAAGATACGATTTTTGGAATATATTCTAGTTTTTAATTTTTTTTCAAATATATGAATTTCCCACCAGTTTAATCTGAAGGGGAAAAAACAAGATGGCTGCCATTTAATGTAAGAAATATGAGAAAAAATTTAGTTTAAGGTATAGTATGCAAACCTTCCAGGGGATGTTAGCTTTCCAGCACCTCCAGGCCTCACTCAGATGCTGTAAGATTGTCCTGGCCTTATTCTGTTTGATTCCTTCAGGCATCATGTCAAGGATATCATGCATCACCTGAATTAAAAGGCCATTCAAAGTTAATCATGTGTTAAATTTGACTCAATTTTTTGGTATAAATCATTTGAAATAGGGTCCGGAGAGCCTTGATTCTCTGTACTGTTTTGATGAACATTCACTCTATGCATAAAACCAGGGCGACGATGATAAGGCATTTTAACTTGTTGTACATGTAACTTTTATATTATTCTTGTTTACCTTATATCATTGTATACCATGTAACTGTCTAAATAAATAGACGCAAATAAAGAATACATACATTTAGGAATGAAGGGATTGCCACACATATTTTACTATGAATGGTCTGATACAATTCATTCAATCCAACATAGCGAAAATCTGACAGATATATTTTAAGCGTACTTAAACTAATACAGTTCCTTCTTATAAAATCCACACATATTTCTATTGTATCTCACATTGTATCTCAAATATGACATTTGGGTTGACTACCCAATCACAGGGCAGGCTCAAACAAAGGTCAAGGTCAATCTATGTTTAATTAGTCTACTCACAGCAGCTCTCAGCTCCAGGTCAAAATGGCTCTCAACTCTTTGTTTGGTGACTGTCTTAGCAACCCCTTTAGAATGTCGACCTTCAAACTGCCTGGACAGTAAGTTCCCTAGCCATCTTTCTAGCAGGGGGGTGATGCCACGCATAAAGAACAGCCAGACTCTCCATCCTGGAGCCCAGATTCCACATCCAGGACCTTTGCCAACTGGACCCTAGAATATAAAAATATCTCTAAATATATTGGGGATGATATTAATTATAAAAATAGGAAAAACCAAGTTTCATCCATGAATAAGTGTCTACTTAAAATCAATAACAAATCAAACTGGTTAAGTTTGGATGTGATTATTGGAAAATAGGAATGGTGCTTTTAAAAAAACCTCCACTGCAGTATTTTCCACATTCCCTCCATTATTGGATATTTGACATGTAACATAGTACATGAACATAATGCAAATAATTATTTCCACATTTTAATCAACTGATATATACAATTTTCAATTTCAATTTGTTTATTTCACAAAACACATACAATATACATATACAATGAGTGGGTGACACAAGGGTCTGTGTATATTCCCAAGATGGAGTAAATTTACAAAGTATGGTAGAGTGACAATCAACAAGGCATTAAGATGCACAACCTGCCATTCATTGCAGAAACGGAACAACAGGTGCCAAACACCAACCACAAAAACGTTGGAGACTTTAACTTGTTGTGGTGACATATCATACAAATAATAAAATCCAAGAGACGCTGTGTACTTACTGTATTGAATCTGTAATATATGACATGTTTGAGATCTTTACACATCCTTATCTGTCTCATGAGTTTGTACTTGTATCTGTACATTCCTGTCAGCTGGCCTACATGGGCAAATATGTATTGTATACCATCTGCAAGCTGAAACAGAAATCAGATACCATTAGAAAGCATTACATCGGAAAGAACCTCTTCCACATTATTATTTCTTTGCTTTTTTCATGAATGTCAGGGAAGATAATTGTATAAATTTGAGATTTGTTGAGTTGAGATTTCAAAAGGAATTGATTGAAAATATCAGATCAATGGTTAATTGCTGAAAGTAAATGAGCTGGAAATGACACTCGATATGAAAATGAACTGAAAATGACACTTGATAAGAAAATGAGCTGGATATGACCCTTGATAAAACCTGGCAATAAACGATATACTGTACTCAAATTAATATTTACTGTAAATAAGAATTAAAGTAAAATGTATCATTACCTGGAAGGCATCTACATTTCCCAGTCTGTACTGTACATGTCCATCAACTGTCAGTTTGGTGAGCCTGAGGACCTCTCTACACAAGTGAAAAGCATTGCCGAACCTCGACTTCTTCCTCTCCTTTGTTGTTAATGTCTTCACTGGTTTCAAGTTAAAGTTAAAGTCCAGATGGAGATAGTTAAGGTTCTTACGATGGATCAACAAGTTCAACATGTTGTAACCTTGCCTGGAAAAATACAAGAGCCCAGTTGGAATAAGAATAATTTCGGAGTTATTATTTTTGGGGTTGTTAGGTATCCTCTTGCCAATCAATAATCGTCAATTACTGTTCATAGAATGATGATTTAAATGATGATGTAACATTCCCTGGAAAAATACTATTTCTTAAAGGATGTGTCTGGGTATATGCCCTTTTGGTCCCTCAGTCAAATGTATGTGAAATATGGTTTTTATTACTGTCCTAGTTATATTTGATAAGTATATTTACTTTTTCATGAGTTTTGATGAATAATTAACCCCCTGCTGAGAGTCAGAATAAGTATCTTAACAAAAAAAAATAGTCACTATCATAGAAAAAAACACCAATGGCAACATGTATGACATACAAAGAAGAAATAACTCCAGACCCATGAAGAATTAAAAAGAAAATCATATTTTTGAAATATATTCAAGAATTAAATTTTTGAATTTCCCGCCAGCTTAATTTGAAGGGGGGAAAACAAGATGGCTGCCATTTGATGTAAGAAATATCAGAAAAAAGTTGCTTCACTTTTAGTTTTCACAATGAGCACAGTTTTCCGGTTTCGGTTTTTTGACTGATTCTGACTTTTCATCACCAGGGTCATGTATAGAGATTATAAAATTGAAACCAAAATGTTGTGCTCAGCATGAATTTGACTGAAATATGTGTAACATCACCAACACAATTGAAGTCTCAAAACTGGATGCTCAGTAACTTTGAGTGACTATAATCCCTTGATTACCAAGATAAACACCAATTCACTTATCCAGAAATACCATTCAATGTCTATAGAAAGAAAGTAACCAATGTTTTGGAAGATATGTTTCAAACTTTTTGCATAAATAATTCATTTAATATTTGCCATTGATTTTTTTTTTCAATTCTGACAAAGTGATATGCACTGTCTTTGATGCCAATATTCTTCATCAATTGTGATACAAATTGATATTTTTGTAATCTCAGAAAAAGAAGAAGATATTGAAGTTTAATAATATGTGTGATTGAGTTGGTTTTTTAGACATTACAATTTTCAATATTCTCTAAGTCGATACCCAGACTCATTCCCAGACTCATCCTTTCTTTTGTCAAGTTATTGTAAACTAAAACCTGTACATTTGGACACCTCTGTTATCTGAACACATTCAGTCCCAATTTTGTAGTCTCCCATTGACTCACTGGGTAAAGAAACCTTGAAATTTGAACAACTGTTATTCCAAACACTGTTGACTGGTTCAAATGGCATTCAGATTAGACAGTATTAACAGTCTTTATCACAAAAATGTTTTCTTATCAAGAGTAAGAATGAATACAATTTAGGTACCTGCATACTTGTAGACCAACCTCCACCCAGTCTAGCTGAGTGGTCTGGAAGAACTTGGTGGCTTTGAATGAACGGAACAGGTACCTGGAGAATGAAACAAAACAATATATATTGTGACAAACATAACAAAACTTTGAAATTTTTTAAATTGTTGAAAATCTGCTTTTTACTAAAATTTAAACAATGAAATCAATTCATTGAAAGAAACAATAATTTGTTAACTTCAGTTTTCAGAAAATAGTACACATTTTCTAAAACTGGAAAAAAAAGTCAGAAATTATTTAAGACTACTTGCCTCTTTTTCTGAGCCTTTGGTGGTCTGTGTTTCAGAGCATTCAGGACAAAGTATTTCAGTAGTTTCTGATAGGAAACCCTGACCTTCACTGGCATTCCAGCTGGACAATGTTCCCTGTACCTATTAATAAATGAATATAATGTTATAAGTCAATTTGTATTGTGGTTTTATCACTCTACACCTAATTGGCCACACCAAATGTGTGGTGATACCACCACAATAAAAGAAGTGCAAGTTTGGGTTATCCAATGCCCAATTCATTCCTTTTAAGAATCAAAAACCAAACCAAAATAAGGTCAAAAACCATGAACCGAACTGAGAAATTATGAAACTGTTTATTTGCTCTATTGGCAACACCCATGGACTTAACTTACTTTGCTTTTAATTTTTACTCACTGGCCTAAAATCAACCACCATGCAATCACGATACAATACCTTTATTCATAGTACATGCATTTTTATTATTGCAAAATATATAACGCAACTGAAGGCCATAATGAAACATCAATTAATTTATGACATTTCTTCACAAACAATGTTACATCTTACCAGGATTTCACTATTGGTATATCTAAAGCACGTCTACATCTCCCAGATCTCATGTTGAATGGTCTTGGTGCCCACATTAGTGCTATACCATTAGAGGTGTTGTCTGTATACAACGGAGTCTCACGCATGAATGGAGAGACGTACTCTGGCAGTTCAAACTCTTCATCATCTTCTGGTAGAGGCTCTGTACCCTGTAATGAACATGCAATCAACATAAATGTATATTCAATCAACACGAAGGTACATTCAATCGACACAAACTCTTCATCATCTTCTGGTAGAGGCTCTGTACCCTGTAATGAACATGCAATCAACATAAATGTATATTCAATCAACACGAAGGTACATTCAATCGACACAAACTCTTCATCATCTTCTGGTAGAGGCTCTGTACCCTGTAATGAACATGCAATCAACATAAATGTATATTCAATCAACACGAAGGTACATTCAATCGACACAAACTCTTCATCATCTTCTGGTAGAGGCTCTGTACCCTGTAATGAACATGCAATCAACATAAATGTATATTCAATCAACACGAAGGTACATCCAATCAACACAAACTCTTCATCATCTTCTGACAGAGGCTCTGTACCCTGTAATGAACATGCAATCAACATAAATGTATATTCAATCAACATGAAAGTACATTCAAACAATACAAATGTACATAATAAACCATCATGAAAATACAAGCAAACAACATAAATATGTTCAATTACGTAAAAGTCATTAGTCCAACGCAATGTGAGTACACCGATTCATAAAATCAACAAGAACGTTTATAAAATCAACTTTGTTTAAACACATCTAGTATGGTGGATAAAATAAATAAATCAAAAATCAACATCAGAGGTAAATCATTCCATAGAACAACTGCATTAAAATGTACATATAAATGAGAAAGAGAACACCTACCTTGACAGCATGTCTGTGTGAAATTGGGTTGATGAGGGGGTCAAAGTAGAATGCAGGTAGATCAGGATCTTCAGTCTTGATGAAGACAACATTTGGAGTGTGGTACCACGAGAGGTGAACCTAAAGACAAAATACAACTATTTGTTTATCACAAATAAGATACAGCCAACATGCAAGCCTGCAAGTTGATGTTAGTTTTTATCAGTTTTGAGGCAAAATTAAACCTAGTCCAATTAACGTTGAAAACCCCTTTATGCCCCATTCAAAATATTTCCTATACCCTCAGTATAGGATCATGGGTGGGGATTTTGGTCTCCATCAAACTGGAGCAAATGAATCAGATCTGATTCTGCCTTTAACTCTTTGTTTTCTTACCTGGAAAGGCATGCTGTTGTAGAGGTATGGGAAAGCAATACGATATTCAGTTCTGACAGGCTGACGAATGATGATCTTGTTGATATCATTAAATTCATTCCAGTCCTCATCTCTGTAATGAAGATAGTAATAATATTAAACAAGGCATGCTGTTGTAGAGGTATGGGAAAGCAATGCGATATTCAGTTCTGACAGGCTGACGAATGATGATCTTGTTGATATCATTAAATTCATTCCAGTCCTCATCACTGTAATGAAGATAGTAGTAATATTAAACAAGGCATTAACATGCAAAAATGTCACAACCTGCCATATGTTACAGACCGCTGAACACCAATCACCAAACACCATCCACAAAAAAGTTGGAGACTGTAAAGAAATACAAGTGGCGACATAATAATATGACATGATTACAAGTAAACATCAACAACGATGCATAAATGTTCCAACATGAGCTTTTTTAGATTATATGCGATGAGTTCCGCCACCTCTTTAGTAGTTCTCACTCAAGAAATATTGAAAAATCCTCATTTAGCATTATTTAACCTAACATAAGAATGGCCTACAGTCCATTTTCTGCTCTGTTTGATTTGATTTTTTTAGTATTAGCCAATACTTACCCCATTTCCTTGTCTTTTACAAGGGGTTCAAACTTAGGACCCCCAGGGATAGCCATATTGAGAGCCTTGGCTGTGAAGAAAGACTTCAAGTCGAACAGGTAGAAGTAGTTGGTGTCTACCAGGTCAGTTAAAAGCTGATTGGCCAATCTGTAGAGGGTCGACATGATAGGGAGGGACATGTTCCACTTGCGGTAAGTTGATCCATTTACATATCTGCAATGAAAACCAAATGTTAGAAATACAAGCAAAAATAGGGGTTACGTTTGAAATACTGACAAAATGAATGTATAACAACATGAAAATTTATTGAAAATTATAAATTTAACATGAACTTAATTCAACTAATTAAAATAATCCAATATTGGTAAAAACAATATTACAACAATAAATTCATTTTTTACAATTGGAGATAATCCCCCTTATCTAATATTTATTGAAACCCTTGCAGTGTTTTCTTTCTATTCATCATGTTTGGATATCATAGGAAGAATCGTCATTTCATATTTTGATGAATGACAAAAAGATTTTATAAGCTTTGTTTCAGTCTTAACTATAACAGGAAAAGGGATTATCTTTCAGGAAAAACTGAATTATCTATTAGGAACAACTGGATTTTCTATTATCCGGATAAAACTTGATTGAAATAAACAAGTGAACATTTTTCTTAAGACCCCTTAAGCTCCACATACTTAGTATCCAGCAAAGGTTTGTTGTCATACAGCCACTCTGACACAGCCACATCTTCCTCCTCATCCAATTCCATTTGTATTGCTTCTAAGGGTTCCACATCAAGAATGTTATCAGCGTAATCCAGTGGAGGCTCCTCATCATCAAATGGCGGGAATCTCATACGTTTGAAATGTCGCCTGTCTCTTTTCTCTCGTCTCATCATAATCCACATTGTGCTGGAACATAAAAAAGTGAAACTGAATACAGGGTAGTCTCTTCAGGATTTTTTGTCAAGTGGGTGCAATACAATATTCTTATTTAAAGACCAAATCTGGTAAAAATATGGCTATTTTTAATGATTTTTCACATTTTAAAGTGGGTGCAAATGCATTCCCAAGAGGGTGCAAGCCTAAGTTACCTAAACCCCAAGGTATCTCCTACCAAGACATCTCAGCTCTTAGTCAACTCAACCCTAAGTCATCTCAACTCTTAGTCATCTCAATCCTTTATCAACTCAACCCAAGTCACCTCAATCCAAGTTATCTCAACCCTTAATTAACTCAAGTCATCTCAACTCTTAGTCATCTCAATCCTTTATCAACTCAACCCAAGTTATCTCAATCTTTAATTGACTCAATCCAAGTCATCTCAAGTCTTAGTCGACTCAATCCCTGATCAACTTAATTTTGGGTTTCTTATCTTATACTCGTGAAATATACACTGTTACAGGTACACTTACCCCCATTGTGCAATATACACAGGTTCAATGACCCATGGTATCTCATTTACAAAGGTGATGGCTCCAGTGATGTGGTACAAAGCCTTCACATCTCTGATCTGTTCCCAAGGCATAGGCATATTCTCCATAAGTTTCAACACTGCATGGGGCATGTACTTCAATGCTCTATAACAAAAATGTATAGTTTCAACACTGCATGGGGCATTTACTTCAATGCTCTATAATAAAAATGTATGGTATTTGTGAACAATCTCTAGGCATAAATATTTACAATATACCATTTTGTGCTATAGTGTAATAAAGCTTTATTAACCATTTACACAATTCTTTGCAAAAGGTATAACAAATGAAAGCAACAGGCAACAAAAAGGTGACTTTACTGGTCTATAATCGAGTGAATATCGAGTTGATTTTCGTTCTTTTAACAATGAACAGAATAAAATTTCACCATGCAAGTTTGGTTTAAACACCCAGAGAAAATTGCCTGTTATGTAGCTATTGAAACCCTTGAAATGTTTTCCCCCGTATACTACAGCTACTCTCTTTATTACCCACAAGTTACATTGCACAATAACTTACCCCAGATAGACACGTTTATCGTGGCGGAACTTCCTGTTTGACATATCTCCGTGATCACGAATGATCTTGCGCACATGCTCTGGGGGCATATCCTCCTTCTGGGCATCTATGAAGCCAAACTTGCGTTTCTCGCTGTATCTCTTTGATTGGAGCTGCTGCCATTTCCTTGCTGTAACACAATATGAAGCAGTTTTATGACAGTGTCATTCATTGTTTAGAACAGTACGAATAAGTCTGGTTATTATCTGGCATGATTGTGACTTTCGATTACAATATCATTTTTCTGATGAACAAGAATTCGAGGCCAACATTTTCAGCCACTGGTTCACATTGAGACTAATCCTTGTTATTAAATCATCATCTCTCATGCACACTTTCTTTATATTAACTAGGTCTCTCTTAACATTCGAATCTCTGTAGTGCAGCATCTTACAATTTTTTTTTTCTATGGCTTTGCCTCTAATGATTCAATGCTCTTCAATAAAGTTTCATACATCATCAGGGGTTTCACTAGAATTTCTCACAACAGGCTGCATAAATGAAAACAACAGGCAAAATTAATTGATATCATAAATGTAACATGGAACAGTTGAAAAGTTCCTAAAACAACAGGCAATTTTGTGAAAACAATCGGTGAAAATCGCCTGTTAATGAAACCCCTGTAAATGTTGCACTAGAAAATGTACAGTAAGGACCTTTTTCCTGGAGTTTGTCTTCTTGCATATACTCTGGTACTCTTGTCGGAGGTGGTTGTGGCGGGGGTTGAGGCTGTCCTGGGGGTGGTATCTGTTGTACTGATTGCATCATTGGGACCTGAACCTGCCCTATAGTGTACAGCTGACCCCCTGGGCCAATCATATATGGGGGTAGCCCTGCCATGGCTGCTGCTTAACTAGATTATTTCTGAAATACATAATGTTTACTTACAAGTAGTCATGCGACTCGTGAGAAGATGATTTGCATTTTTTCAATCCAAGTGGGAATTTATTATGTTTTGCATTCTGGCCTCCTAGACTATCATCAACGCGAACATCAGTTCAGTTTTGGAGCATGGATCTTTGTTCGCGAGTGGGGAAATATGTTCGGGAGTGAGGATATGGTGGGGCGCAACTAGAGATTTCACGTTCGTGATGTGAGAATCATGGTTCTATATTCAATGTTCGCAAAAAATTTTCTAATACTGTACTCCTAGTATTTTTGGCGTGCGATTTAGTTTCGCGCTTTTTGCGATTGCGACAAATAATCATCATGAAATTCGCAAATTGAATCCAAAGGGATTTTTTATTACCTGGGACTCCGATGCATTTTGTTTAAAATGTGTGTAAAATGTTCGTCCAGTGTTCTTTGGCGAGAAATGGGAAATAGCAACAACAGTACACTGGCTTTTTAGATCAATTAGACCAAAAATGATGATGTAATAGAGGTTGGGGTGCAGCGTACCATTCTTCAAGATCTAGTAATTATAAATTTTATCCAAATGTTACACTGGGTTGGTGGTTGGATGTAACTGCTGTGTAAAAGGTAGTTTACAAAACTTGAGGATTCAGAAAATAATGAAATTTGAATGTGTCGTGTTTGGCTGACTTACACAATGAAACCTAGGATGTTAGAGGACATATCACACACTGTTAAGTAGATAAGCTTGGAGGAGATGTAGAATGCCACTCGACTTTTTGGTGAACTTGAAGTCATGTCTGCACTTTACAGTTCAAAATCAACATCTGTAGTTATTTGTTACCACCTTCTAATGTACCTCACTAACCTTTTTTTCTAAGAACATATTCTCACAAATTGTGAAAATAAGGGTGATGAACAGCGAAATTATAACTTATACTTTCTCCGAGTATAGATTTGTGGTGAATATAATATAATTTGCTTAGTACTTATAGTCCTGGTACCTGGTACTATAGTCCTGGCACAGGATAACTTAGTACTTCATGGGAAAAGTTTCGAATGTAACTGAACTTTTATTTACTGCACGTAATGACCTTATTCTTGGAAATGTATAAGCATGCAAATTTTGAAGATCGTCATAACGAATAATGAAGAACTGATTGCTGCAATATGATGTTATTTTGGGAGGGATTTTCTACGAGATTCCTGGGGAGTTCGGCCACATGCAATGCACGACATGTTTGACTCTGAGGGCTATAGCTCTTTGGGTGACTTGATTCTAGCAAGCATGCATGAAGTTCAAAGATAACAAAGAGAACAAGTAGTTACAGTACATGGAGGAGGTTCAGTCTGAAATCATCAAATGAACAGATAAACTTAAAAGAAAATGCCTTTCCACTTGATTTTTTCAGAAAAATGTGGCGAAAGTTATCAAATTCAAAAATAGATTGAGAAATTAGTCTGGCTAGCCTTTTCTTTGAAATTTTTCTCAAAAAATCATCAAATTCAAATCAAATGATGCGGTTTTTCTATAATACGTGGAATGCCAAGATCCCAAAATTTCAATATACAATTTTGGAACACCTACCGCAACTAAGTATCTCGTTATTTGAACCCACCTTATCGTCGAGGCACCGTTATTGACAAAAACCTATGTTGTTTGAAAAGTTTGTGCACAATTCCAATATGGCCGCCTCCGTTTACAAAACGTGAGTGACGTCACGATAAGTTTCATCAAAGTTTTCCAGCATTATATTTTGTATCCTGAGTGTTATTCTTTCTAATAGTACTCACAGAAAAATAAAAGCTTGTTGAATATATTTTCTTAGAAATTTTTTCATATCTCAAAATGCCAAATAAGCTTACAACGGAACTAAAATCGGACCCTGAATCGCAGCCATGGAATTTCTTATAAACCTGCGACACCAGCAACATGGAGCAGAAGTGGAAAGATCTTTCCGTTTCTTTGAGTAAACCTATCACTAAAGCAATAAAGGAACTAAAATTCAAACGCCCAACACCTGTTCAGGTAAACAAAGTGTGTAATGAACATACCATAATGTGCGATTTCTTTGTAAATCAATGAAGGAACAAAGATTTTGAATAAGTAAATATTTGTGGGCGATAATAGAACCCGGAAGTTACAATACTGTATACAAGTACACTTCTTTATCATGGGGAGTAAGTCACGCGTCCATGCTGATCTAATCAGTACAGACACATCAGAGGGCTTGCCCGACCCTCCAGCCAAGCCCCTGTGATAAAAATATGTCAAGGACATACATGTATTTTCCTAGCCTCGAAGAAGGCTTTAGCATTTGTTGAATTTTAAAATTTGGATATTTTTTTCCAAATGTAAAGCCTTGTATCATCTCCATTGGAAAACCCTCGATTTCACATCCAATAAATTACATGTAATTCGTAAGATAAATACTACTCACTATGTCATATTTCAATGCTCAACTCAAAGAATACCACTGTTTCTACCATCCTGCTATGTCAAAGTATATCCTAAGTAATGACTAGAGTCATAAAATGAACTTCAACAAATGCTAAAGCCTTCTTCAAGGCTAGTATTTTCCAAATAACATCACGCTGTTGTCCTTTGATTGGCATAAAATATCACTTATTTTTACAGTGGGGAACATAAAGAATCACTATAGCTATGAAAAATACATGCTGTCGCAAATGTAATAAATTCTTACCTCAGTGTATTCAGTGCTCTATTTTCTCCATTCTAGTAAGTCCAAATATTTTGGAATTTGTGTCCATAAATAGCTGAACTTAAAAATTTGAAGTGAGTATTCACATGTAATGCCGACTCTTCAAATATTGAGGTGATTTTGGAGCCCGATTACGCCGCAAGGAGGATTGGCTCCCAGAATGGAACATGACACGTGTCAGCTTTAAAAATGCCTTTCCTCCATTTTGAAACCTGTCATGAGTAAATAAGGTTAACTGATGTTGCATTCTGGGAGTCAATCCTCCTTGGATCACAAACATGGCGATTCATGAAAACATTCGTTCGATTTGGTAGAAATTTATCCATCATTTGCAGGTATGAAGCTTTGGATTAATTTATTGTCCTACTTAAAGTGAACGGGAATTATTTTTCTACCACTTGGGAGAGTTTGAGACACGAAACTTAGAATTTAGCTCATTGTGACAACTTTTGATGGTTGAGGTTTATTAATGTCTCCGACTTTAGGTTTGATTTATGCAAAGAAAAGTGTAACTGTATGTCACCACCGAAGTTCTTTATAGGCAAGCCTCTGTATCAAACACCTCAACAGTGCCAGTGATGATATGAATGATATTGATGAACTACGCAAAATTGTTATAATCCAACTTTTTTGTGGATGGTGGTCGGCAGTCAGAGTTTGGCTTCTGTAAAAAATGGTAGGTGGTGACAGTTTGCATGTTAATGCCTTGTAATGCACTTGTTTTAGGCAGCATGTATTCCACTATTTATGACCAATAAAGATGTGGCTGCTGAGGCAATTACAGGGAGTGGTAAGACATTGGCATTCCTTATTCCCATCTTGGAGATCTTGCTCAAGAGAGAAGAACCCTTAAAGAAGAAAGATGTAAGTTATAAAGCTGTTTTTTTTTAAATCTCATAATTTAAAAAAAATATACAATATGAACATTGAAATTGTAGTCAATACAGTATAGAAAACCTTTAACCTTCTGTTTTAAAGGTTGGAGCTATCATCATTACACCTACTCGAGAACTTGCTCTACAAATAGATGGCGTGTTGTCCACATTTACCAAACACACACCACAGTTTACACAAATCCTCTGCATTGGTGGAAATAACATTGAAGCTGACTTGGAGAAAATCAAAGAGAATGGGTAAGGATTTGTAAATGTACAGGGTGTTCCAGTCTAATGAAACAATCTTGTACAGTATATTATAAATTTAATGGGCTACTCTAGAAATACTAATCCCTAATTTGAGACAACTCGCAGGCCTGTAACTAGGGGGGGTTCTGGGTGTTTGAGGAAATTCTCCTCCTGGCAAGAAAAAATATTTCAAAATCATTCAGTTTCCATCATTTGAGCACTAAAAGTGTTTTGGGCATAATTGTCAAATTTGAACCCCCCTGAAATTTTTAAAAACTGAAGTCCACTTGACAAAAGCTGACTTTCACTTAGAAAAACATGTATTTCCTAAAATTACAGTTTGACTCACCCTTACTGTAGGGGTAATAGCTCTCTGATATATAGAGGTTATTTTATGGGAGGGATGGAATATGAATTTTATTTCAAGGGAAAATATGATATTTTCTCGAGGAAAAATTCACATTCCATCACGACCATCAATAACCTATTAATTCCACAACACTTTTCTGAAATTTGTTTTGTATGTCGTCACCCAATGATGGTGACATAAAATGATACAATTTAATTTATCGAATGACATTTTCAACTTTTATCAACACGTTTTAAAAAGAAATAATTTATAATACTAAAATGGATCACAATATGCCATGATAACACAACATAAAGTCTCATGAAATTTTCTGATAGTTCTGATACAGGATCTGATACAGGATTCTGGCTGATACGGGATCCAATATGGGATCTGATACAGAATTTTGGTTGATACTGGTTTTTTAATATCAATTTTATTCCAAGGGAAAACATGTTATTATGGAATAAGCTATTATTGTATTCTAGGGCGCATATTATCATAGCAACGCCAGGCAGATTGGAGGACATGTTTCGTAGATCTACAGATGGACTCACCCTGGCTGTAGGGGTGAAAGCTTTGGAAGTATTGGTTTTAGATGAGGCTGATAGGCTGCTTGATATGGGATTTGCATTGAGGTAAGTTAACTATGTTATCCTTTCAAGTGACTTTGACTTGAAAATATGACAATGCATCAAAACATGACAACCAGTTTACAATGTAATGGTTTGTTATTATATTTGGAAGGAGGGGGTAAAGTGGTATACATGTATAACTTTGTAAACATGACTTTTACTGTCGTTATGTATGATCATACATCTATGCATTCAATGGTGTGATGAATTGATGAACTGTGACAATGCCATAAATATCAATACCAATACAAAACATGACAACCAGTTTACAATGAAATGGTTTGTTATTATATTCGGAGGGAGGGGGTAAAGTGGTCCATGTATAACTTTGTAGACAGGAGTTTTACTGTCGTTATGTATGATCATACATTTATGCATTAAATGGTGTGATGAATTGATCAACTGTGACTTGACTGCTTTGGAGCCTTGATTTGTCCTCTTGAGTTATAGACCAATAATAGCTGTATAAAAAACACTGAATATGCTCTGAGTTAAGCGCCTTTTATGTCTCATTCATATGGTGATACCATGGTGATACCTGCCATTGTTTTCTTTCCAGTATAAACAATATCCTAAGCTACCTGCCCAAACAGAGGCGTACTGGTCTATTCTCTGCAACACAAACAGATGAGGTCGAAGCTTTGATTAGAGCTGGTCTAAGGAACCCTGTTAGAGTGGCAGTCAAAGAGAATCAAATAGATGATGAACAGACACAACGGACCCCTTCAACACTGCAAAACTTCTATATGGTAGGATTTGTTAAATTAAATAAGGGCTTGAGCAAGCTATTGGTAGCACTTTCATATTGGCACCCAGAAAAAATGCAAGGCTTAAGATACAGATGGGAAATCAGTCTTATTTATTAGGTATATCCACTATATGTCTGAGGAAGATATCATTTTCTTGAAAGATGAATGATAATTTTTTTATAAATTTTCATGTATCAAAATATGCCTTATTCTCTATGTAACAAATTCCCAAGAAAAAATCCACATTTACAAATATACTTCAAGCATGTACTTGAAGAGAGTAAGTTAAAGTAATTTGACTGCATTGGAAAGATTAAGGAATTTGCTTTAAAATGATATGCAACAAGTGTGTCCATAATAGTGAATAGAGTTTTGATAACCGCTTGTAGCACACAACCGTTGGTGTAACATTTCATTGTAAATTTTATGTTAAAAAAGACAGAATTTTTCAACATATTTTCCAATGTTTGCTTACTGTTTTTTTATGATGATATCAAAAGTACTGAATGTTAGAATTCTGTCAATAAAAAAATTATAGAAAAGGCTGTAGCGGTTCCTGAGATATTGGCTCTCAAAATAAGTAACTGATTTTCCGACACGCAAATGTCTTTTCCGAAGAGCATGTGTATTTCAAGACTGAAGTAATATGATACACTAAAAACTATTTTAAAACAAAATGCATTTAGTTTCTTGAATATTCAAAACAAATTAGTAGCTTTGAACTGTCATATATACCTGTAAAATCAATTTTATAATTCCGACACAAGAAAAAAGTCCTTTCCGAAGAGCTCTTCGGAAAAGACAAACAGTGCATTTACCAACAATATTAAAGAGAAACACACTGGAATATATTTTCTGATGAACTTTTATTCATAAAATATCTTTACTGAAGTAACTCAGACTTAAACAGGAACTACAAAAGTAAATGTGTCCTTTCCGAAGAGCAATCCAATCTCTGATTAGGAATGCTATATTGGATGTCAATAACTAACTTTTCTACCAATGTATAAAGGCACTAGCACAATGTTCACAAATATTACATTGAATCTTGATTTGGACAGTACTGTAAAACCCTTTAAAACACTCAAGTGTAAAATTGCAAATGAAGAATGTCGCAAATATAAAATTGTATCTTCATCACTATTTTTCCTGTGATAATAGGTTTAATTCACTGACAATTACCACCAACAATTGAGTCGTTTCTATGCATAATGCTGTTACATAGGCCCACGTGTCCCTGGCCCAGCAGCTAAAAAAACTATAAGTACATTCATGATAGCCTTAAAGTGATGACTTTAATGATGTTCTGCCCTATTATCGCCCATATATCTACCTATGAAAAATTGCAGATAATGTTGTAATCTGTGGTAAATCTCGAAAACATGAATACACGAATAGAAACAAATGTACAATCACCAAAAATTGCTCCAACAAATTCAATCTATTTAACAGCATATAGCAATACACTAAAAAATGTCCTTTCCGAAGAGCTTCGGACAAGTGTAGTTTAGTCATATGGTACACATATATACTATCATGATTGTCTCATATATAAACAAACATTATTAAGGACTTTGTAATGATTCAGACAGAAGGAAAAATCAACAGGATATTCAACGTTTTTAAGTTTTATCGTAATTGGAAAAATGATTGAACTTTTTTGCCAAAATCACAGGCCAAGTGACGAGACTGGTCTTCCTATTTCATTTCTATGATAATGATTCAGATAAAAACTATTAGTTATTTAAAACCATATATGTGCATGCTTTAAAACAAAATATGCGGAACATATAATGAAACTTATATAAACCCTTTAATAATTGCAATTATGTGTGTGTCCTTTCCGAAGAGCCAAAGTTGGGGCTTATAATATCATCCTGATTTTTCCGATATCGATGCAAAAAGTTATCTCTGGGTCAATAAAAAATAAAAGGTAAGACATTAAGTAAAATTATGATTCAGGAAAATGTTTTCTTCTAGCAAGTTTGAAAATCCACCTCTTTGGGACTAAAAGTGCTACCAATAGCTTGCTCAAGCCCATAATGCATGTATTGCTACAGTTTGGGTTTTCTTCACTGTAATGTGTCAACTTTGTTCAAATTAACTTGGTCAATTATACCTTTAATTTTCCTTTGGCTGTTAAAATAGAATCAGATTAAAACCAAATTTCCCATTTTTTCACCTTTCAGAGATTTCCCATTTTTTCACCTTTCAGAGATGTAACATACAGTTTCTTACTGAGTTACTGAGTTTCAAATACAAGAATTTGTGTTAATTTATGTCATATTATGTTATTTATTTCCAAAAGTAAAAGTAAGAAATACAAATTAATGTGGATGACACCCTTTTGGGCATATTATCCACACAGTTTTAAAATTAGCTAACAAAAATGTCTTAATAATATCTCTGATTCAGCACCCCCACCCTGCATCCACCAGCATGATTTAACAATATATAAAGTTAACTGAGTCGCCAGTAAATGTCACAGAGCAAAATATGCAGTGAAAGCGTTTATTGCATATTAGATACATATATGTTAGCCTTGCCAATTAAAGGGTGACTGAATAATTTAAAAAGCAAAACCAAAAACTACTACAGTAGTACACTGTATCTGTAGATTCAGAATCACATTTGTATAGTCTTAAAGTTAAAATGGAGATTATCATCATTAATCAAAAATGATTTAATTTTTTTCTTGTAAAGAGTTATAGAGTTGCATACAATTATTTCTTCAGGTAATTCATTCCAAATGTCTGGTCCTTGCTTGTTAATTGAATATTTGCCAATGTTTTTTTCTGAAAACTCCCTGTCTAAGTTTGAATTCTTGTCTTGTCTCATGTCTATGAATGTCATTGTTTGGAGAGAAATAATATTTGAATTGGTTTTTAAAAAGATACATCAAGATATTGAGTTTCGTATGGAAACTTATTTTGTAAAGCCAGCAATACCCTTAGTTTTGTTATGATAACGTCACTTACACATATTTATTCCAGGTCGTGTTGACCATTGTTGCTTGATTTATATCATATCTTAGAAGCATATCGGTTCAAAAAAATCCTGGAAGACCTAACATATTTTACTATACCGTGCACCTATTAATTCATAATTTTGCATTTCAATGATTAACTTTCTCTTGACAGATAAATCTTCCAGATTTGTTGAATTTTCTTGCAGAAATTGCCTCCTCCCCTCTCCATCCCGTTTTTCCGATCACCGGGCGTGTTAGTAGGAAAGGCTTCTTAATTATGGACATGTTGGAAATGTCTTCTTATCTTTTATCTCTAGATATGTGAAGCAGATGAGAAGTTCAACTATCTAATGGATTTTCTACGATGCCACCAGAATGATAAATGTATGATATTCTATAGTACTTGTGCTAGCGTGGACTATTTCTCAAAGGCTATAAAAAGGTATGAATATTAAATGAATTTTGCCAATCACATGACACCCATCTTTTTCCAGTACTAGTATTTGAAATATCCGATCATCGATTCCTGTCATAAAATTCAAGTTTTCTTTTTTTTTTACATATAAACCATCATATCGGCCATCGGGCATTTCATTTAAAGGTGATGACTTGCAAACAGTGCCACCCATTCTCTATTCCATTGAAATGAAGGTCTTTTACTTTAATACTGTAAAACTTATGAAATGGTAGATACATATTCAAACGATCTAGTTATTACTCTTATACATTGCAGTTTACTGAAAAACACAGAGGTGTTGTGTATACATGGGAAAATGAAAGAAAAAAGGAACAAAATATTTGCAGCATTTAGAAGTTTACAAAGGTATGTACATTATACTTGTATGCAAACAGTATTTGCTCACAATATTGTTTTATTATTAAATAATAGGAAATGTTTGAAGAACTAGCACACACATGAATAGATTATTTCAATCATTGACCATGGATGAATAAGGTGTTTATTTGATACACAAGATGTTAATGGAACATTTGTCCACTTTTGAGGTGAAAACTATATTTCTTATAAAAGTGCAAAAAGGCCTCACAATTTACTTTTACTCAGATGCTATATTATACAATATACAGTAAACCCTGTAAAGTGGAACACCTCTATAAGTGGAACATCTCCATAAGTGGAACATTTTTCAAAGTCCCCCAACCTATTAACCTATTGTTAAATGAACATCTGCAAGTGGAACACCTCCCAAGTGGAACTTTTAAAAGGTTCCACTACTTATAATACTGCATATCTTTTCTGTGTAACTTTCACTTCTGTTTGATGCCAATTAAAGATCTGAGTTAAATTATTAAGTATGGTGTCAATGTACCATGTTAGTATGGTGTCAATGTACCATGTTAGTATGGTGTCAATGTACCATGTTAGTATGGTGTCAGTGTACCATGTTCTTAAATGCATGTTGTGCTTGTAGCTCATAACATAATTTTGTTAGGTAAGCATGGTTAAAAGAATGAGTAAACTGGCTATTCAATGTGATATTGTACAAAAGTTTGCAAAACAATGTTATGGTTCACACTGAAATGTTCCACTTTAACACCATGAGAAACCCATCATAGTGTAAAATATATTTATTGTAAGATTCTATTTATTTTCATAAGTGGTATTCTTATCTGCACTGATGTCATGGCCAGAGGAGTTGATATCCCAGAAGTCAACTGGGTTCTACAGTACGACCCTCCAAGCTCAGCGAATGCATTTGTACATAGATGTGGCCGAACTGCAAGACTCGGGAGATCGGGAAATGCTCTTCTGTTCCTACTGCCTAGTGAGGACAGCTATGTTGAGTTCATCGCACTAAATCAGAAGGTAAGCAGCATTCTATTGGGAGGGGGGGGGGAGAGTTGCTTCTATTCAGAAGTTTTTCAGATTTTGTTTTGAGCATTATACATTACCCTGGCAACTTCACATCATTTTGGAAATATAGCCAAAATTCAGAAGAAGTGAGTAGCTCCCATAATTCTTTCATATTCTATCGTATTCGGGGATTCCCCATTACGTCATCTCCCGCATCATCTCCAATCAAATTGCGGGATGCGATCACGTGAACAAACATGAGCACGTGCTCTCTCAGAGTTGCGCATCCGCAAAATAAAATTTGAAATTGTGGAAATGGCGTTAACATCAGTTCAATATCATCATTTTAAATCTACAGTAATACTATTAAAGTTACTCGATCCAAACTTAATGAAAGGTTATCTTTTGGAAATCTCCCCCCCTGGCCAAAATTGCAGATTTAAGCCTGAGATAAACATAAGAAACAATTCTTTAATCAACTTCAATCCATTCTGGTCATGGTTTATATCATATTCACACATATAAAAACATTTTTAAAAAGAAATACAATTCAACCAGCACTGTTTTTGCAAGGGTATAATGAGCCACGTGAAGTACTTAATATCACTTAGTTAATTATTAGCAATTATATTTATTGTTTTTGACACATACATGTAGGCTATTTTCTTTTAAATGGTGTCGAAACTTATTATCAGTAAAAGCAAAATATTTGTTACAATGGCAGTAAATTATCATTGAATTGACTAGATGCGAGTAGAAATAATCTTGATTTACATCATTAAAAATTTAAAGTTATCATATTTGAAATCTACATGTGAAATTATATCTAGAAATGTGGTTTAAAAAAAGTGATTATCAACTTTGAAAATTTAAATCTTCTTTGAAAATGTGACTTATTTGGTCCCCATAGACCTCATGTTATAAAATCACAAAAAGTAAAATATCTTTTCATGTATTGGACTAACAATATTTTCTTTTAATGGACATATTTTAATTTGTGTAACTATCAGATACATAAGGGTAATATGAAAGTTGATCCACTAGAACTGATGAATGTTCAAGTTAAAAGTTTCTAATATACCTGCCATGTTATCTGACCCGAATTAGCCACCTGATAGTGAAACTGGTTACTACCTACTCACATCTAGGTTATTAGTTTTGAATACTCATCATCATCATTAAATTTTTAACTAAGTTGTTGTCCCGATCTTAAAGGAGTGGTATCGATATGGAGAACTCTTTGAACACACATTTCTCTTAAACCAGTCATAAAAAATCTAAAAATTTAACACATCATCAACACGGGCTGGTATCGAAATATTTGTCAGCTGTGACGGAGCATGCTATTTTTCATAAGAACACTAAGAATACTTCACGATTTATTTTTTAACTCATATGTTTCGTTACACCATAGAAAATTACTTACTCCATGCAATGGATATATCATTTGCGGGTAACTTTCACTTCTATTTGAAGTTCAATTATGCTGGGAAGAAAAGCTATTGAAAATGGCGCCGGAGGATCAATCTTCAAAATGTACCATTTCTTGTTTAACTTTCTATTGGCACGATATAGTAACACAATAATATTTACACATGGTTTCACCATAACTAAGAAGGTATAGATGAGATGTTGATGTATTTGGTCTTTTTAATTCTTTTATAAAAAATAATTTTTAATTTTAATTTTTCTGTCTGCTGTGACGGAGCAGTTGCAAATGTGAACTGTGAAAATGCTCCGTCACAGCGGACAAAAAATATTAATATTGCTTCTATGAATGTTCATCTCTCTGGTTGTAATGTACAAAGTTGTTGATTTTCTTTCTCAGAGATATTTATTTTTTCTTTTTGACGTTTCGTAGGATGTCCATCCTACTTCTTCAGAAATAAAATTATATTTGAATCAAACTGAAATAATTAATTATTACATAACAGCTCTATTTAATTGTAACATCAATGAAGTTTTCTATAGTAACGGTTGCTATTTGTCTCATTGTTATGTAATAATTAATTATTTCAGTTTGATTCAAATATAATTTTATTTCTGAAGAAGTAGGATTAAAAAGACCCAATGCATTAATATCTCATTAATACATTCAGAGTTATGCTGAAAACATATGTTAATATTATCGTGTCACAATATCATGCCATTAAAAAGTTAAAAAAGAAATGGTACATTTTAGAGTTTGTACCCTTTGCATTCGTTTGACTTCACTTCTTAAAAAAGAGCTTCGTCTTCACTCTTTCAAACTAAAATAAACCTGTGAACTCACCGCGCCAACCAGTGTTCGTCGGCCAAATTTGACCGACGTTCTATATATGGTCATTCGTTCTGATGTCATCGTTGAGCCCGGAATTGACCAATGACATGCGTATATTTAATTAGAATACATTTGGCGTATGTTTCTTCAAGCTCGCTGATTGGTGGAAGAAAGGTCAGCATGTAGGTCAAAAGTGATTAATTACCCAAACTGTCACCGGTATCCATCGTGGGGGCGGGGCTACTAAACTGTAATATGGTCTCTGCTAGGCAGAGTGTAGTTTAACTAGACTCTGCACGCAGGGTATAGAGTTTGATACTCTGGCGCCGTTTTCAATAGCTTTTACTCCTAGCATTATTGGACTTCAAACAGAAGTGACTGTTACCCGCAAATGATATATCCATTGCATGGAGTAAGTCATTTTATTTGATATAACGAAACATATGAGTTAAAAAATAAATCGTGAAGCATTCTCAGTGTTTTTATGAAAAATAGCATGCTCCGTCACAGCGGACAAATCTTTCGATACCAGCCTGTGATCAATTTAATGGTCATCTTTTAAATATATTTCGAAAAATATATACACGGTGTCCGGAAAGTAAAGATACAAGTGCTCTAATTTCAATAGATTTACCTGTTGTGAGATGAAATTGCTACAGATTGTAGGATGACATTGTAACAATTTATCCTGCAACTGTCATGACATATAGTTTCAAAATGAATAGGTTATGGTCATTATGGTAACATGAGTCGGGGCCGGGGGTATGTGGAGCAGCGTCACAATTGTGTTTTATAATTACCTTTCCTGCTCATATCATCTTGGCACTCCATCGTCTGTTCCTATTATACATTAAATTATGCACCACAACAGCATAAGGGTTAGTACTGTGGTCATTTGACATTACTGCTGTTATCCAGTATTATGTATTTCCCACCATTATCTAATCATTCGTGGTGTATCTTGACCATATATTCAAAGACCTGCCAAAACCGCTGCTGTCCATCTCTCAGATTGCTGATAGCATTAGCTTCCAGCAGAGTCTCATTGTTTGTGTTAAACTTCTAACAAATATTGCTTTCAGATATGCATTAATGTAGAAATCTAACGGGGCATTATCAGGGGAATATGGGCCATTGTGCAAAAAGGTTTGATGTCAAGACATTCAATTTTAAGATTTTATAATCTTCTTTAATTATACTGGTTAGTGACATTACATAGTTCTGCTATGTATCAATGATATCATTATCTTAAAGAGAACACTATGGCAACAAGAATACAATATTGAAGAAAACAAAAACATTGATAGAAAATACAATAATAAACACTGTTTCAAATGGTCATATTTTAGCAATTTATCACATATAAGGGATATCCTGGAACTGCTCTGCATACCCCTCACCACTGTAACCATGACAACCATAACTTTAACACATTTAGATGTTATGGGATGAAAGTTGGTAGACATATTGTCATAAAGTTCCTCTACAATCTGGAGCAATTTCAATACAAGAAACCTAAATCTCTTAGAATTAGAGTATTTGTATCTTTACTTTCGGACACCCTGTATAAATATTATGTTCATCTATATTGTTTTAGAAAACACATCAAACACTTGTTTTGTTCTTGGTATCAGGTTTCCAGAGTGAAATGAAACATCTTTCCGAATCTCATTGGAACAAAACGACATAAACACAACATGTTTAGGTCTCTCAATATTGTAACTGTACAGAGGAAATTTTGGTTGATTTTAAAAAAGTATCTTGTTCATGAAATAAAAGGTTTATCTTGATTTTTATCTATTTTTGGGGGATTTTGTTTTAATTTTTTGAATACTTTTTTAAAGTCAACCAAAAATTCCTTTGTATAAATATAATATTGAGAGGTCTTAAAACATGTTATGTTATTTAGTTTCAACAAGGTTCGGAAAGACATTTTATTTCATTCTCAAGAATTGGTAGAAAGGAGCAAAACAATTGCACTAAAAAAAAATGTTAACAAAAACAGTCATATAAAACATTTCTAAATAATTTTCGCAATAAATTGTTGTCAATCAGTCAACATTTCATAAAATACCATGTTTTTTACAGAATATTTTCAATGATTGGTTTAAGAGAAAAACATTGTTGAATTCAGTTCTCCATATCGATACCAATCCTTTACATTGTGTGTAACAAGGTGACACGTTGATTTTATGTTCTTGTTAATTTTTGCTATTTTTTTAAAAACATCTGCCATTAATCTCTTTTGAATAACAGTCAGTTATAAAAATAATGAAAATCAAAACTATAAACTTTAATAAATATGTGTACATTTTGTTAATATTCTTTCTGACAATATGAATCATTTTTCAACTTAGTTTCGTTTTGAATCCTTTTAAAGTATTTCACTTAATAAGACTTATGAGGTCATGTTAACTCAGTTTCGTTTTACATTACAACAATAGGCACTTCTCCAGTTTTTATCGACCACTTCTACTTGTTAAATGTTAAAAGCTTTTAAGAGAGAAGTGCCAACCAGTCAGAATATTTGAATTACTTATCAGTTGAGTAATATTTACCTTTTAGAAAAACTTGCATCATATTTTATTGATAAAGGGGTCATAAATAGTAACTAAATGCAGAGTGGCTTGTATATGTAGTGGCTTGATGTAAAAGAACATTAATATTATTGCTCTCTCAAAATGTTGAACAATAACAAGAATCGTAAGAACATAAGTCATGAAGAAAACACAGATAAACATGTGACCGCACCTGGTGATGAAAGACATGTTCTGATTGACCAGTCAGACACAAGAAGAGATGGACATATTGAGCAGTTTGAATTGGAAACAAAAACTCACAACAATGGTCCAGATAAAATGAAAAGCCGTAAAGTGCAAATATGTATTTGCTTTGTTGTCATCACCATAATTTTGGCCTTAGCAGCAGGCGTCGCCTTATTGGTCACAGGATCGACAGGTACATTTATATTATTCTTACATTTTATGAAAGAGATCAAATTATTAGAAGATTTACAATTCAATGTAACTATTAATAGAAATAAAAAATATTTCATTTATTACTTTTGTAGCCAGCCTTATCTTAATTAAATTCTTTTTTTCCAGTACAAATCCCGAAACTTTCTGTCTTAACACATGAAGTGGACAACTCTGATGAGATGACCAAAAATCATGATCTGAAATCATCTAAGATCCATAACTACAGAAATAAAACCTTGAACAGTTCCACACATGGATATAGTTATTTGGTTGACGATTCATGGATGAAAAACAGAGAAAAAAATGCCACTAAGACCACATCAGTTATGTGTAGACTTTTCCCAGATGTCCTCCCAAAATTGTGCCTGCTTTAGATTGTCAAGATCTAATCAACAAGATTACACATTTTGCTTGCTCTTATACACAGTATTAGAGAGTAAGGAAAGGATGTGGTAGCCATAGAAACATAGGTCATAAGTTCAAGAATTGGACAGCTCAAACTAAATTGTTCAATTTAGGAATAAAATAGTACTTTACTAAGTATGCACATTTAGATGCACATTTAGAAAATACATTTGTCAAAAATGATGTTTATGATATGCTATATTAGATATTGTATAAAGTAAAATAAAATGAATAAAATGATATTACAAAGATTATATGTATAAGAGGGGTGATCCAAAAGTCTTGGACGTCCCATTATTTTTTGATATAATTACAAGAAACTTTCAGATAAAGATCAACATCTTAACAACTTTATGTATCAGTTTCACCAGAAAATAATTTATTTTTGGTACTATTCTTGATATCTTTAATATGGGGACCCTGTCACTCGGAGTTGTACTAGTATTTAAAAACACAAATCACGTCACAATTATTTATCTTCACACATTAAGGCCCACATTTTTAACAATATTTTCCACAAATTTGAACACATTTTTCGTACCACTTTACCCATGAATGGGAGACATTTATAAAACCGCCCTTGTTTAGGTGATACAAATGCTCCTGGAGTGCCACTCTAAACCTCATCCAATGAGTAAAAAACCTTCCTTTCAACCCTCCTTTCAACTTGGGGAAAAGGAAAAAATCACACAGAGCCATATCTAGACTGTAGGATGCATGTGGTAGCTGCTCAAGGTCAATGATAGTCAGAATATCTTGTAGTATTATTTGTTTCACTCTGATTTCTTGCTTGTTCTGCATTTCAGCAGCCATCTTGGAGCAAAAATGATACCAAATTGATTGAAGCTTGCTTGTCTGTCTTTTTCTTAGAATTCGACATATGTGGCCATTGTCACATGTTACATCATAATTAAAACACAATTAATTGGTTGCCTGGTAACAAAGGAACTAAAACTAACATGGTTTAACATTCAAAATTCAAAGAAAGATAATGTTCAAGACTAGGGAAACAAGTCAAATGGCGGCAACATTTAAGGCTGAAAGTTGCCATGTTTGAATACTGTTCTGGGTGACAGGGTCGCTATATTAAAAACTATCTAAAAACTACATAAAATATTTCACTTTATCATCGTTGGTCTTAATTATTGGAAAGGGCATCCAAGACTTTTGGATCATCCCTCGTACTTTGATCAAAGAGAGACTTGTATGGCCAGCTTTGTATTTTACAGTGGGATTTTGTCTGGATTACTTAAGATGAGCAATCAGTCAGTTCTGGTGGGATTTTGATAGTAGCCTTGTCATTCATGTTTTTTCTTAAAGTTTTGGTCTCAATATCTTGGGAAAAAGTCTGTCCAATTGGAGATACCATTTATGGTATGAACAAATGGTTCAATACCCGGAACAAGCTTTCCAGTCATACTTTCTAGTCATCTATGTATTTTTAAAAATGTTTCTGTTTCGTTTTGTTAAATCATGAAAAAACACTCCTATAATCCATAAAAGGATATAATGTGCCATATAAAAAGCGACAGGTTTTAGATTTGATCTATTCATAAAGTGCAAACAGCAATATTTAAAGTAGGAGTGCATGCTTAAATAAATCTTATCAACCAATAAAAATTACTTTATCTAGGGCAACCCGACCTTCCTTTAGTTGAATTATTACAAGATATTGTGTACCTTTTGAGATATCTCTTTTGAAGTATCTTGAGTTAACTTGACCTTTTAAATGAATAACCTAAGAATAGAACTTACAAGAAATAGCACATGTGTGTATGTTTTAAAGAAATCTTCAGTTTCGTTTCTCACTTCTGCGACATTGATATGGGGAGAAATATATGCAAAAATATGCCTCATGCATATGGAAGCTCATAATGCCTGGTGAGCAAGATGAAAATAATAACCATATTAATGAAAATAATGACTTAATGCCAGTTTATGGGCAGTATGATCCAATTGACCTTGATGGATATCTCGTACCTGTACATAGTCGCTATGCAGTAATAAGAGAAACAGGACTACATCATTCAGATGATCAGCAACAGTATCTTGGACAGCAGCAATGGAATGAACAATTTGAAAGTGAAGGTAACCAGAGGAATGGATCAGTTACTGAACCACTGTATTCGTACGTGACTTGTGAAAATGTACAAGACAATCGTAAGAAAAAACCTCCAACAAATTGGTTGAAAAGAAGAAAATATCGCAACTTGATCATTTTGATAATAATTACTGTTGTGATCATGTTGTTGATAGGAGCTGCTGCATTCTTGTTCATATTTACAAGAGGTAACTTAAAATTATATTTATCTATTTCTGCACAAGCACAACAAGTAACATTTGTTCGTACCAATATGAAAATCCCAAACATGTATAAAATTATCGTTGTTTAGATTTTTGCATTCTTTGAGGGTTGATTCATTAATTTTAGTGATTCATATTTATATGTCTATTATACTTGCTATTATATAGAAGCAGTGAAGGCAGACAATAAAGGAGTCCAACCTAGGCAAGATTCTAAAGATCCTAATGTGGTTGCTACTGTGAGTAGCACTATTGGATGCTGTGAGGACCTACAGGTGTCAAAAACTGTGCTTAAAAACATGGGAATTTCGACTACTGAAGAAAATGTTGTAGATAGTCGTAATATAACTGGTCCTAAAATAGTTGATTTTATGGCAAGTACTACAAAGGCAACATCATTTATGTGCAAGAATTTCCCAGATGTCTTGCCAAAGCTATGCAAGTTGTAGAATTGAACTACATTACACTAAGAAATTCTAACAATCTGCCTGAATTGAAAAGTATATAAGAAAAAATTACAATTAACCCTTTTCATAATTATGTTTTGACATAACCTGTATGTTTGTTGAGATCTGATGTGGTAGCTTAATGACTGTTTTCTTTGGTGAATCCATTGAAGAAAGATCTGATACGAGAATGTTTTCAAGGGAGAGGGACAACATCTAACTCTACATTCTCACTATATAGGATTATAGTTCACACAAATCAAGTTTTACTGGCAGAATTTATTCTCAGGCAGAACTCATGCTTGTAAAATTCAATATACCTTTACCCAATTTAAGTACTGTAAAAGCCCGAATTTCCACTGACAATAAATTGCAATATTTTGTCAATCTAAAATGTTTCATGGGTATTAAAAATTTAAGAAATAACTAAATGAGTTCAATGTTAAATCAAATATTCACTGTGTCTTTAATTTTACTGTCTAGCTCATCAGCAAAAAATTAGGGCACCTTAAAAATTTGAGCTTTTACAGTATGCTAGGTGCAAGAATGTATTGATGCAGGTAGTTCTCAGCCTCTAGTATTATGTATAATATAATGGTAATTATTGTACAATTTAAAAAGTGAATAAAGTACAGGAAAAACTATGCAAAATCTAATCTTGTTCTTAGGTTATTTATATTCTACTTATAATATCTAGGCACCTCGTGTCATCTTGTTACTAGGGTATCTTGACCTTTTTCACATACAATTTTATGCTAATTTTGTACTTTTATACACAGATTATTATTTACCTACTACCCAAATGGTTTGACACATGGTTGTCAAATAATCTCCATTAAAGACACCCTAATTTTTACAGTTGACACAAACTTATGTCTTACCATCTGTAGTCACTCAATAATATGCATTTTAAGGCACTGCTTACAAAATGACTTTTCAAAATGCTTACGATTGTGACTTGAGTAAAATTGCAGACACTTGAACTCCAAAAATCTAAGTTGACATTGAAACAAATGCCAGGTGCGCTTTGGAACTATAAATGTCAATATGGTGCCAAACAAAGATGAAAAATGTAAACATCATGTAAGTAAACATGATAGAAAATACTTGATATATAAGATTCTAAAGACGGATGAAAATATTCAGAAAATAGAGACAATGTAAACTAATGCACAATATTAATTAATTATTTCCCATAAATAATACATTAGTAAATAATCTGGGACAAGGATAGTGCATGCCAGTGAGATTGCTACTTTTTACATATTACCTAATGATTCTGCAGATATCAAGCATACCCAGAATAATTTCAGCATTTTGTGCCATTTAACCACTACTATTAGGTTGTAATTTGTGAGTCTGGCTCTCAAACTGGCAAATACTGTATATTTTACAGTTCATAAAGGTTAAAGTAAAATATTGTAATAGAGTTATAGAGAAAAAAATTGATAGACATGCTTCAATAACAGGAGTGTCAGAATGTCGAAAGTAAAATTACACTTTCAATTTTGTCACATTTTTTGTATTATGATGAATGAAACATGAATTCTTGGTATCTGGCCTCTACCAAAGAAGGAGTCTCTAATAATGTCATTTATGTCGATTTTGCCAAAAGAAGCCAGTACTACTACCTGGTTATTTGCATCATGAAATGTTCATGATGAAGAGGGATTTGATGAGATATATTTTGTTTGGTGGAATCTGCTTCTTTGTGGAGTTCCTGTTTTTCTAGTTATGCCATACCATACCACAGCGTGCAATAATTTGAGAAGTAGTCACTTGCCTTGCTATTTTTGTACCATACCACGCCATACAGTATATTATAGTATACCATACCGATATCATACCAAACCACACCATGCCATATTATAACTTGAGAAGTCAGGTTCATGCCCTATTATTTCATACCACACCATATCCTAACTTGGTAAGTGGTCCAAATAATTCCTCGTTATTCTTTCTACCATACCATACCTTACTACAACTTGAGAGGTTGTCATGTTAATGCCTTGTTATCTCATCTATAGGTCCCTATGAAGAGACTTTCACCCCCAGCCCCACAACAGGAATATATACACAAGTTGAAGCACATGGCATTGAAGGACAGGTGAGAAACAAGTTACAAAAATAAAAGATCTTTTCAAACACCAACTGTATATTTATCTTCAAAATATAGTCTGTTATTCAAGTACCATCTGTAAGGCTGGTATCAAAGCAATCTGTGTTTCTGTTTATATAATAGGATTCCAGAGCCATCTATATGGCTTGTATCATCAATCTTTGATTCTAGATAACTTTTGATTCCAGGGCCATCTATATGGCTTGTACCAGTGCATTTGTATCATCAATCTTTGATTCTAGATAACTTTTGATTCCAGGGCCATCTATATGGCTTGTACCAGTGCATTTGTATCATCAATCTTTGATTCTAGATAACTTTTGATTCCAGGGCCATCTATATGGCTTGTATCAAAGCATTTATATCATCAATCTTTGATTCTAGATAACTTTTGATTCCAGAGCCATCTATATGGCTTGTATCAGTGCATTTGTATCATCAATCTTTGATTCTAGATAACTTTTGATTCCAGGGCCATCTATATGGCTTGTATCAAAGCATTTATATCATCAATCTTTGATTCTAGATAACTTTTGATTCCAGGGCCATCTATATGGCTTGTATCAAAGCATTTATATCATCAATCTTTGATTCTAGATAACTTTTGATTCCAGGGCCATCTATATGGCTTGTATCAGTGCATTTGTATCATCAATAGAGAGATTTCGCACATACATAAAGTACAACTTATAACGTATACTTATAAATAAATGTACAAGGTGTTTCATAATGTTGGATTTTCGTCAGGAAAGATCTTCTCGGACTGTAATAAATAAAGGTCAAAGGGATGCCATTTGTACTTTCTTGAATTGTAGCATGTTTAGTTGATCCAAATGTGTTTGTCTAGAATAAAACAGCCTCATATATAGTACATATGTTATAGACCCATCTCTTCTCAAATTGACTTTTTGGAGATGCTCGTTATGAAACACCCTGTATGTCATTTGTTATCCCATCGAACGAAGTTCGGAGGGAGTTCGGAGGGATATAGGGAACACCTCCGTCCGTCCGTCCGTACGTACGTCCGTCCGTCCGTCTGTCCGTCCGTCCGGGCAATAACTCAAATACCGTTGGCCCGATTTTGTTCATATTTTGTACACATATACCCTATGGGGGTAGAAGTTCTGCTCGAAAGCCGATTTTCAAAATGGCCACTCATTTCAAAATGGTGGCCATTTTAGTGACGATTTTACAGTAATTTAGGTGCAATATGTAAAACTGTAATAGCAATATGTTTTAAATGTAAAAAAATTATAAAGGACATTAATAATGCTACAAATGTAGATATTAAAGAAGCACATGGCAGCCATCTTGAAAAATGGCCACCTTTACTCGTCATTTTACGATTTTTGCTGTAACTCAAAAAATAGTGGAGCGATTTTGTTCATATTTGGTATGTGAATACTATAAGCAGTGCACACTGTCTAAAGACACTTTTGGAAGAAGGCGGCCATTTTGAAAAATGGCCGCCATTTTAACGTATTTTACTATAACTCGAAAAGTAGTGGAGCGATTTTGTTCATATTTGGTATGTGAATACTATAAGCATGGCACACTGTCCTATGACACTTTTGGTAGAAGGCGGCCATTTTGAAAAAATTTTTGTAAAATGGCCGCCATTTTAACATATTTTGCTATAACTCGAAAAGTAGTGGAGCGATTTTGTTCATATTTGGTATGTGAATACTATTAGCATGGCACACTGTCCTATGACACTTTTGGTAGAAGGCAGCCATTTTGAAAAAAATTTTGAAAAATGGCCGCCATTTTAACGTATTTCACTTTAACTCGAAGTGTAGTGTAGCGATTTTGTTCATATTTGGTATGTGAATACCATAAGCATGGCACACTGTCTATTTCTAATGACGCTTTTGGGAGAAGGTGGCCATTTTGAAAAATGGCCGCCATTTTAATGTATTTTACTATAACTCGAACAATAGTGGAGCCATTTTGTTCATATTTGATATGTGAATACTTTAAGCATGGCACATTGTCTAATAAAACTTTGGGGAGTAGTCGGCCATTTTGAAAAATGGCCACCATTTTTATGTGTGTTTTATCTGTGTTTACAAGTATGTGTGTGATTTTTCAAAAATTTTAGAGGTGGCTACTTAAAAGCATATTATTTCTTCTGATGACAACTTGGCTAGTGAACAACCATTTTGAAAATGGTGGCCTTTCTGGTGCGTTGTTTTATGATATTTGCGCTTCGTTTTTAAAAACGCCAGCCATTTCTGTTCGATGGGATTCGCTATGCTTTGGCGTTGCCGTTGTTCTGGTTGAGCTAATGAATGGGTCGTTTCCAGGAATTGCTAGAACCTACTGGTTTGATTGGTGTTTCAAATCGATGGTTAAAGTATTTGATTAGATACTGTTCCTACTCAGCCAATTAATTTTAAAAAATATTTGCGGTCAATTGTTCCATGCACATGTAGGTAAAGCTTTATACGGAGATCCAACTGTATATGTTTATCATCTACGTATTTATACCGTTTTGTAAGTTCATTGAACTTATACTGAGCATGAAAACTTTGAAATAATCAACTTGTTTATGTAATGACTCACTTTTAAGGATCATGATTCACTTTAAAGGATCGTGTTTATAATACGCTACAACTACTAGAACACGGAAGCAAGCATTTAATTATAATGTGCATAATCTACACGTGCAGATGACAGTGCATTCACAGTCTCTAGTTGATGGAGCTTTTCTATATCGGGAATAGTTATGTTCCATTAAGTACAATTTGAAATTGATTTTAGGAAATATAATAGTTCAACATGACCCTTTAAAGTATACGTATAAGTTGTACTTTCACTTATGTGCGAAATCTCTCTAATATTTGATTCGAGATAACTTATGATTCCAGAGCCATTAATGAGTCAGGTATCAAAGCAATCTGTAATTCTATATATATCATATGATTTCAGAGCCATCTATGAGTCAGGTATCAAAGCATTTGTCTCTTCTGTTCAGTCCTATGCCAAACATGAATGCAGTCTCATATTTAGGTTAAAAGGTAAGATTGCAGTTCATGTTGTTTTTTCAAAATAGATGAAGGTATTTAATTTTATTATAGCTAATTCAGTTTTTATGTCACCATGGTTTTCTAACTAAGATAGTTTAATGATCATTCTTGCATTGAAGCAACTGAACCATGACGAAAATTTGAAAATTACATGCCATTCTGTCAAATCGATAGAATATTGAGATATCTTGACATATATTGGTAAAATAGATTTAAAATTGTTCATATGATTTAATTCTGCCTTTAACAATCTAATACTTAACTATTGATGTGTTGGAACATCGTCAGAAATAAATAGCATTATTATTTTCTACCAACCTGGAGTAAAAGGTTCAGAAGTTTAGGATTTGGCTGTTTTTAAGAAAAAAATATGAAGTTTATGAACGTAGATTAATCGCTGATTGCAATTTTCAGATATTGATATAGCCAAGTTAGCAAGGGGCTATGCGTTGTTAAAACTACCAAAAATGCCTGAACTTAAGGGCAAAAAGTTGGAGCACTTTGAAGAAACTGAGAAAGATGTCTCTACCATACCATATAGGTAGGTCTTGTTGTCAATGGTAACTGTCAATAGATGGCAACCTAAGCCAGGCTGCCATCTATCTATCACAAAATTTCAGAAATACGATACTTTGATTTGATAAAACGAAAGGTAACTGGAAATTAAAAAGTGCTTTTTAGAGAGCCAACAAAAAGTTCTAAAAAGCAAGTCCAATGTCCTGTCTTAGAATCCCTATCTTTACTATTGAAAAGGATTCTATCAATACTATTCCACATGAATCTACGTTGAATAGACAACAAGTAGATTCATGTGGGAGAGCATTGGTAGAGTCCATTTACAATAGTAATAATAGGGGTTCTTAAAGAAGACATTAAAGCTTAACTTAGGCCTCTTTGATATTTTGGTTAATCACCACAACAGAAACTTTCATTGCAATTAAAGGGGGGGGGGTGTATAGAAATACATGTATTGTATATCGTATAAGAGGGTGAAAATTTATTGTATATTGTATAAGAGGGGACAAAATTTAACGTATATGGTATAAGAGGTGTAAAAAATATGGTATATGGTATAAGAGGAAATATGGTATACGGAATCTCAAGCCACCAGCAGGTTGAATATATGTTTAAAAAAGAATTAAAGAAGACTTATTGTACCCTAAAATTCCCCATTGTGCTGACTCTCTGACTGTAACTGTGTTAAATTTACATGGAAAAGAAATCCGTCTCTAATAGACTAGATGTGAGTAGAAATAATTTTGATTTACATCATTAAAAATTCAGTCAAACTGATGTCATATTTGGAATCTACATGTAAAAGAACATCTGTGAATGGGGCTTTTAAGAGTTTATCAACTGCCCTGTCAACCCTCACGCATTAGGCGTGATTGTCACGCATTTGCTGGAAAAATAGAAATCACACATTAATTTAGCGTGTATGATCAAATATCACGCAAATCACGCATTTTGTCGATATTTTTAAAAAGCATTTTTTGTGAAATGCTGATACGGTAAAATACCGAACGGTGAAAAAAAACGAACGCATTCCGTTCGGTCTTTGCAAGCGATTGCCGTTTATGTCACGCATTTTGTACAAAATATGTATATATATCACGCATTTGTTTCGAAAAAATTTACGTCTTCAGTTTAACTAGACTCTGCACGCAGGGTACCTGGTGGCGAAACTGGAAACTACCTAATCTAAGTAATGTTGGTTCCACATTCCAGATCAATAGGTTTGAGAAAATCACTCTAAAACTAAGAGTTTTGTGCCCCTTTCATTAATTCAATGAATAAGAATGCCAAATGCCATTGACTCTTCTCAACTTTGATGAAAAACATGGTCCTTTGGCTACTTGTGTTTCTTGGTTAGTGGGATAAATCATTAAAATATTTGAGTATAAAGTGTTAAAACAGTGTACAATGTATGTGTTTTTGCAAGCATCACTAGATATGGTAAAATAGCAAAAGGTGTTCATTTGGTCATAATAGTAATTATAGAAAGGACCACGGAAAGTGTTACAACAGATTGCAAACTGTCATATGTTGGATTTTAGCTATTTATTGGGGATTTGAACAGGTGCACATGTTAGGCCAATGCATTAACTTGAGATCAAGCACTCATCTTTAAAACCACTGCTTAATAATGAATCCTATTTTCCTTTTAAGATGTTAACCGTGTCTCAAAATGCAATATATTGTGCATCAAACATTGAAAAAACAGGTGTGAAATCATTACAGAAAAAACATGTTGATGGGGTGTTTGCACCTTCCCAGTCTCAAAGTCAAAATTATTTTATCATCTTTATGACTGCTTGTCCTGGAGTTAATGCATTGGCCTAACATATGCACCTATTCAATTCGACAGAAAATAGCCAAAAATCCAACATATGACTGTGTGAAATCTTTTTCGAAACCGTCCGTGGTCCTTTAAAAGAAAGTTACTTCTAGTTACATACAGTAGTTTTCATTTTCATCAATACTTCTTTGCCTTGAAATCATTGGTGAAACAAGTGGTTTGACCTTTATAGGAATTTCGTTAAATTTTGGCACACTTTTGTTTGACTTAGACTGTCTTTAACAATCAAGTCTCATTTTGCCTTTACTTCAAATACTCGAGTCCAATCAAAAAGGAATGAATTATACATGAAAGTTTGTGAAGTCCTTTGTTTCCGAAATTGTTTTCAATGCTTATTATTTCCCAATCAAAATTATTGTGCATTGTCTTTGACAATCAAGTCCCATTTTGCCTTTACTTCAAAGACTGAGTCCAATCAAAACTGAATTATCTATACATGAAAGTTTGTGAAGTCCTTTGTTTCTGAAATTGTTTTTAATACGTATTATTGACTGAGTCCAATAAATAATCTATACATGAAAGTTTGTGAAGTCCTTTGTTTCCGAAATTGTTTTTAATACGTATTATTTCCCAGGTGACTGTTTTACAAAATTATCGTGCATTGTCTTTAACAATCAAGTCCCATTTTGCCTTTACTTCAAAGACTGAGTCCAATCAAAACTGAATTATCTATACATGAAAGTTTGTGAAGTCCTTTGTTTCTGAAATTGTTTTTAATACGTATTATTTCCCTGGTGACTGTGACAAAATTATTGTTCATTGTGAATGATCACTATCTCCTGATAGTGTTATGTGTACAAGATGTAGTAATAAAAGCAGTATACTCATTTTGAAAATTAGATCAGATGAATTAATTTTTTATCGGGAGATCATAATGGCGAGCGCATTACTTCCTTTTATTTTCAAAGAACACATGATGAATCTTTTATTCCACATTCTCAATTTTGCATCAATTATGTTTTAAGGATTTTTTCCCTGTGAAAGATTCCATTGACATTTATATAATTCATGGAAAAGTAAGTCATAAGAAACAGGTACACGAACACTGAGTTCCACCCATTCCATGGTCTAAGTAGGTTGAAAATCACTAAATAAGTCATGAATGTTATTCCATAAATACCTGAATATTATATGTGATCACAGAATTTATTAACACAATCGGATGTACCCGAATGTTGTCTTATTCATATTGCAATAAATGAAATCATTTGTGGTCTGTATGTGCAGTCAATATGATAATACATTTACTGTAGTACATTGGTTCTCCCAGTATTATTTCCTCATAAATATATAACAGCAGTTTCAAAATTATCGTATATTGTATTTCACCTGAACGTTTGTAAAGTCTCACCCTTCAATGTGAAATAAATGACTAGACATTGTAGCCATGTACATGTAGTCAGTTTTAGTGGATATAATTTAGAGCATTGAATTCTTAGTTGTGGAAATACACTTTTATGTTTTTGACATCAGTGAAAGTAGTCATTTTAGACATCTTTTGATTAAAGGGTCTCTTAGAAATGCTGCTATAAGTCTATCCATCTCCTCTAACATGTCTAAACCGGTGTAAAAGGGTGGGAGGACTGGGAGGTCCTATCAAATTATGGTCCTACTTTCCATTGATTTATATGGTGACCTAAATACAACTCTTTCCCTCATTATCTTATACACAATCAGGGCCAATAAGGGTTGTTAAGGAAAGGGACCTTAATCCCTTCGGGGACCATCATTTCTTTCACACCGGGCATATTTACAGGGTAATTCACTAAATGTTTCAGAGACAAGATGAGAGAGAAACAGAGACAGAGCAAACTCAAGATATTCCAAGAAACAGGAGAGATGCCTGGCAAAAAGAAGTTTAAAACCATTAAGGTAAATGAGAGTAATTATAGTCCCTCCTACTCAAGTTCAGTAGGCAGTTCTCATTTGTCAATATTTTGTGTACATTATTTTTTTCTGGAGAAAACTACTAAAACTTCAATAATTTTTGGGGAGTATCAGCAAAAATAAGGTATGTATAGCGTCAATAGATGTAGACATTGGGATTTACTCAGTTGCCGCTTTAAGTGCTCACCACTCAATGAAAATAAAATTACTCTGAATAATATTGAATATTAAAGCCTCAGTCACATTTGCTCTCTGGTGGCCGTGCGGCAGATGTAGCTTCACAAAATCGATATAGAAAATCTACATCATACTGCTTATCCTTATATTTTATACTGCATATTTTTCTCGATTTTGGGAAGCTACGACCGCCGTAAGTCTACTGAAGATCTAACGTGACTGAGGCATTATTATTCACTGAGTGAATGTTTAATCTTACTTGAAATTGTTAGGTTAAACCTTTTTTGAATTTCAGCCAGAAAATAAACCATGGGCCAAAGAAAAAGAGCGAAAAGATAAGAAACAGAGGAGGAAAGAAAAACGGGACTTGAAAAAAAGAAAAATGGAATTCAATGAAACAGAACTTGACGATTTGGCTAAAGATGCACAACTTGTAAAGAAATTCAAAAGAGGGAAAATGTCAGAAGAGGACTTTGAAACAGAATTTATTGAAGACGTATGAGTAAAATAGAGAAATTAGATCTTTTAAAATATAAAAATAACACAATTTAAGACCTACTTGTCTTGTTTGTTTAAACCATATTCAAAGATCCCTTTTGATTAACAAACAACAATATCCTATCTTGTGTTTAGGCTTAAACACATCATGGTGTTAAAATTTGTATCATGCATTTGCAAGCACATGTGCCTTACACCTTAAGGAAAAGAACAAAAAACATTGTACAAAGCACAGTTAAAAAGAAACATCCAATATTAAAGGCAGAATCTGATCTATAGGGGGTGACAAAATTACAAGCAACATGTATAATTGACCTACCAATCTATTCCCTACTATGTCAAATACAATATCTCCCAAAAGATTCACAATATGTTATAAATTGGTGAAGTTATTAATGATTCAAAGTGCAAAAATGAGTGAAAAATGTTTAAATTCTCCCAAATAATAAGAATGGTAACCCTTCTTATAGAAAAATAATACATTATTGTAAAAATCTTTAATTTTCCTGGAATAAAGTATGCATTTTTGTGATTTTTAGAAAATAGACATGACAAGGAATGACATGAGCCAAAAATATTCTAAAATTGAAACAATTTTTTGTTTAGCCTGCTCGCTATATCTGATTCTCTCTTTAAGAAGAGCAGTCCTAAGGAAAACAACCCCAAACATTTCAAATAATGATCGAATGTTTAAAAAAGAAACACTGTCCAGGAATCATGATCATAATTCTAAAGCACAAACTCACGGGACATTATTTCATTCATACTAAAGTCATTACAATACACTGATACATGGTATTCATTTTTGCAGCCATAGCGGATCTTTATCAGAGAAAACTTTCAAAATGGACCTTTCCAATTAACCCTTGCAGTTGATGCATCAAGGAATGTATGATATATTGGCTAGATTGATGATGTCATTGGTTGAAGGTAACAATCTCTCCGATCAAAAATAGAATAAGCTTATTGCTAATTTTGAAAAAGTACAACCAATGACATCATCAATCTATCATAGCTTCTTTAATGTACCAACATGTGACGGGGTTTATTGAAAAAGACTATTGCCTATTGTCAAAATGACCACCATTTCATAAAAGATTCAGAGGTTTTTGGCTATAGTTAGGACAAATCAACATTTTTGTATCGTGCTGTTCTTTTCGCCGCAACAGAGATTGAACAGCTTTCTCTAATCTCGACTGTATTCTGACAATAAATACATTAAATACAACATCATGAATTCAATATGTTTTCTTTATTCCATAATACTACTGTTGTCCCTTGCAAATAAAATCGTATTGTCCCTCTGAAAATCGTATGTCGAAAAATCGTATTGTCTCGTGAAAAAATCATATATACTCGAAAAATCGTATTGTCCGGGTGAAAAATCACAGTTGCATTCGCGAATACAATCTAAGAGACGTATCGCAAAGAGGGGATATAGTCTGATGACACAACAAAGCGATTATCGAAAGAGGGTTAACAGCAAAGTGAAGGTTGTCACGCGAAGAGTACAAACATAGAAAGCATAAACGATAGTTCTTACCTAACCAACAAAAATCATTGAAAACTTGAAAGAGTATAGGTCAGAGAGGTCATGAAAGAAATAAAGGAAATTGATAATTAAACAACCATATTGTGATTATTTATTGAAAAAATTCCTTTCATGGAAATCAATATGGGTTATTTTGTCCAGCTTTGCGAACGATCCAATCACACCCCGGAATAGCCTGACAACGGTACAGTCAGATACCGTTGTCACAAATGGCGGACATAACCGTCGCTTCGATTAGATTTCATGAACTGTATGTTTAAGGATATACCAGTGTAACCCTTACGACAATGGTGATATATTTTTAAATTACAGAAATAGAAAATTAACACCTCTATGAAAAGCTCGTTTGTTAACTTCACGTTTGACAAGTGTTCTGTATTAAATATCAAGGACGCAGAATGACGATATATGACGCTTTACGACATAGTAATCCATAGCAACTAAGAGATTCTCATTTTCAATGTTGTTTTATCATGACGTCATATAACACTTTTGTTAATGGGTTCTCGGAATATGATACCATTATCTGTGACGTCAGTGTCATATTGCCCCATCAACAAATAAACAAACAAATGAACTATACGTCATCAATTCTTCCAAATAATTCAGTAATTTTTTGTATTCTTGTTTCATTCCAGTTTCGTGTCCGTTTCTTTCGTTTATCTCAGCAGTATATGTGTATGTGCCCATGTATTACAAACACGACAAATCTAATTTGTAACTTGCTTCTTATTTCGCTACAGTCTATGAGTTTTCATTAAGTTATAGTCTATAGCCTATGTATTGACCAGGGGTATTTAATATCAAAAGGCAACTGTAAAATACAGTATTCACATTCAGTTTGGAATTTCTATAATTCATGTATACAGTTAGTTAGTTAGTTAGTTAAATATTTATTATAGTGTCACACGAATATACACTTATTACATGAACCACGGACACTTAAAGTCCGTGCATGAACATTCATTTATATGTATTTCTATTGAAATCATTACCTTGTTTCGTTTTCCTTCCTGTCAAAACAAATACCATCAAACATTTGAACCAAGCCATTCAAACCTTTGTTCAATTTATATTATTATTCTATATTTTTTATAATTATAGTTACCAGTTAAAAATATTACCCCAGTGGGTATTAACGACCATGATCGGACATGCCGGATACAATGCGAAAAACGTCCATAGCCGTTCACAAAAACACATTATTCGTGTACTACATTCAGTAGACGTATCTTGCTCAAATCCGACAGCTTTACATGAGTGGGGACCTCGGGTTGAGGAATGCACAGGGAATGTACAGTTCATTAAGACAGAACATGTTGAGTTTTCGCAATTGTTAATCTCAAATGTAACGTTATCCTTTCCCGAAAAATGAACAGAAATATTAGCATATTAGAATAGGAGTCAAATATGGCTATTATTAGCCATTTTAAATCATCGTTTATTGAATGAATGTCTTACTGGGGCATCTAGCCCTCAATTTATTCATAGTTTATAATATTTTGGAATGATGTTTATCATGTGGACTTAGCGAGTTTATGTTTTTCTGAGCAGTCGATTTTGTTAATTCTTGAGAAAGACGTCATATATTTAGTTAAATTATGACGCGAATTGACCATTGGCTTTTGCACGGTGTATAACCCAAACGCTCCTACATGCACGACGGAGCGTTTCATTACTGAAATTAAACAAAGAAACGCTCCGGAGTAGGAAAACTGTCTGGCGGGAATGATGAGCCGTCTGACAATTTCCCCAATAATGGGAATTAGAGGTATGAGTTACATATTTCGAGTATACCATTCGATGGGTGTGATATTCATGTTGTACGTGGCTGGCTGTTGACGTTTGAAGCAATTAGGAAGAGCTGTACGAAGCAGTATAGTTATCAAAATTCAAAAACGTATTTGTCATTCTACCGGTCAAAACCCCTTTTGTCGATACATGTGATTAGTTGAGCCAAGATTAGAGCACCAACGTATATTTTAGTCAAATTCCAATGCTTCAACGCACCATACATTATCGTAATAGTGATTTGATGACCGAAAATCCAGTCTTAAAAATGATGACATTCTCATATTCAAGAAACGCTCCGATCTGGTTAACACAGTGAATTGGAAACACTCCGGTAGTCTAGATCAGTTAAGAAAATAAATAGCTTGCCTTTCCTTTTCAGGAAGAGAAAGAAAAGATCTATTATACCCCTTGGCATCAATAGAAGAAAGATTAATTCACATATAACTTTTCGTTTTTTCTATAGTTTTATGATTTAGCACATATGTAGGCATGCCATCATCTAATGTATAGGCTTTAATCAGCTAGTTGCACGTTTAGCACCACCAGGTTCAGATGTTTCAATTTGCCTAACAAGTACAACACGTTTTTGAGAGATAGATTCGATTCGGAACTCTTCTCTAATAATCTGTAAATGATATCAAAACAAAATGGTAAGAGCGTTTCTAAAATTGTGGTCTAAATCGACGGAGCGTTTCGAGGAAAACAAGCGATTTCTCGAGAACAAGTAATGGATTTGGACTGGGATTTTAGGAAATGAGAATATACGAGTTTGTGATCTACTACTTAAACAGAAAGATTAACGTTTTCATAGAAATACTAGTTTAATTCGTAATTTGTGGTCAAATCGTCATCTTCAGATTCGTTCGATCTACACTACGGAGCTTTGATCAAGCAAATAAGAGTATACCACCAGAAGTTGAATAAATTAGATCTTTGCTCACGGTATTGTTCATCGAATGGTACATAATATTTCACCATGACATATGATATGTAAGAGAAACGAGAGAAACAATACTTAGGGCATAGTAGAATCTTCATTAGCCGCCATTTTATTTCGCTCCGGAGCGTTTCCGCGTAAATGTAACGCTCCGTCGTGCACGTAGGAGCGTTTGGGTTATACACCGTGTTTTGTATCATTGTTAAAGCACACCAATCTTCAACGGCATTTTCAAGCGTAAAACAGACCGTTGACCCTATGTTTTTTTTATATCAAAATAAACACGAGAACACCTTTTTTAGAATAAGCAAATAAAAGAAATACCACAATCCATGGGAAATTTGCGTAATTTTCGATTCAAAACGTGTCAAAATGCGAAAATGAAAAAGATATAATTTTAATGGAAAAACGTTACAAAAATTCACAAATATTGTTGGGGTAGGGGTGACACTTTAAGTGAAAAAAGTAAGAAAAAATGTCCTGAGTGTACCAATATTCGAATCAATGTAATTATGTATAAAGGAAGTTTATCTAGGCTCGAAAAAATCGTCAATAGTCCCTAAATCATCATTTTTATCGACGAAATACAGGAAAATATGTTTTTTTGCTTTGGAATCAATGGCGCCTCAAATGTTCAAATGATTATAACGTCACACCTATTTTCAGAAGCTTCTCATGAAAAAAACTAATCCGTTGACCTACCTTTTTTATTACATTTTTCGGATCGCTACATCTAGGTCTATAATAAAAACTTAGTTTCGTTGAGATTGAAAATGGTCGATTTTTTCGGAGGTTACACTGGTATATCCTTAATAGAGCACCTAGACTAAATTCCTATGGAACAACAATCAGTCTAAGTGTCTTAATACTCATTGTACAGTTAT